CCCTAGCCCTAACCCTAACCCTAACCCTAACCCTAACCCTAACCCTAACCCTAACCCTAACCCTAACCCTAACCCTAACCCTAACCCTAACCCTAACCCTAACCCTAACCCTAACCCTAACCCTAACCCTAACCCTAACCCTAACCCCTAACCCTAACCCTAACCCTAACCCTAACCCTAACCCTAACCCTAACCCTAACCCTAACCCTAACCCTAACCCTAACCCTAACCCTAACCCTAACCCTAACCCTAACCCTAACCCTAACCCTAACCCTAACCCTAACCCTAACCCTAACCCTAACCCTAACCCTAACCCTAACCCTAACCCTAACCCTAACCCTAACCTAACCCTAACCCTAACCCTAACCCTAACCCTAACCCTAAACTACTCTATCGATTACATAAGTTTATTATTATACGAGTTATTATACATTCTTCATCGATCATTCCGAAGAGATGTGCAATGCTCGGAACAGTTCTTTTGACAGAGCCTTTTTACCCAGGATTTTTATTTCTTCGTGGTGCACGTGGCTTTAATCGCGGGTTTAGTACCAACACATTGCTTTAGTGCCAGCGGTCACAATTGACTACGTTTCCGATATTTCTGTGCGTCCGCGTATTTCCATTCTTCAACTCCGCCTTTGACCATAACAATAACATCACTTGTCTGGGAATCGTGCATTGTTGTCTCCTGTAAGATCTGTCTTTGAAGGCATCGGCTTGGTCCTCAAAAAGACAGAGATCGCTCGGAGGTCTCGTTCCCGGCGTGCTCGCGACTCAAGCTGCAACGAACAAATATCTCATTCTTCTGGCAGATAAGGTAAACGGAGCGGACTGGCAGTTTCATTGGCTGTGAGAAGGAGGGAATTGAACCACATCACTATCGTCGCGACGACTAAGTACAGCTGCCACAATGATTTGGGAAGGGGCATCGGGGATGACGTACTAATTACGGTCAAAAGAAGTTATTTTGTTAAACCAGAGGAAGAGCAACGCCGGGAGGGTAGCTGGTTACCGTATCAAGATATAAACAAGTGGCGAATTCCGTCACATTGAAGATATTTCTCTTCATTTTCCCAACTACAGCTTTTTGAACCCTGTGGCTGCGACAAAGTGTCAGGATCAACGTGCAGCATTTGAGAAAAGGAGCAACTCGCAATCTGGCATCTTGTCACCCAAGTTCTGTAGAATGTCCCTTATCAGCTTCTTTTACTAGATTCGCCCCACGAGCCGTCATTTGTCCAAGTTGCTCTAGCTCCGCGGATATCTTCTTCACAATTTTTACATCTTTCACAGCATTGTGTATTCATTTTCCGGTGCGAGCAGCTTGCGCAGCTAACCATCAAGTGTCTAAGCATTTGCAACGTTCTACATGGGGGCAGAATTTACAAACTTACCAAGCCCAACGACTTCGGAGATGAGTCAAAGAAAGGCGTTCGAAAGTAGTGCGTCGTGACAGTGAATATGGGAAAATAATACTTACATTCTCCAACACCAGGCATAATAAAGGCCAGCACAATATCTGCAAATACCACTTGAGTCAACCAATGTGATGCACTTAAAACATTTACAACACGCACATCAAGAGCAAACATGAGAATGAGTTCCACACAATTTCCCTGCTCCGTTCTTCTGCCTCCTTAATGGACACTAGGTTCCTTCCCTGCAGGTAGACTTTTTTTCAGGAATATCCACACTATCTTTGCTTCGACGATGGATTCATATTTCCCTTCTGGCTGAACCAAATCATTCGCAGTAGCCAGGAATTAGGTGGCTGCCTCCATACCCTCCTGCACATCCTGGTAAGGTCGCCTTCGAATCGCGAACCAGAGCACGCAGTTCATCGATTTTGGTAAATATTCAGGTCCCAGCATCGGGTAATTGTGCCTATTTTCGAAGACTTTAAGAGGGAAATGCCGACGATATCATGGATTATACGATTGACGGCGACGGTTGGTAATGCACAACACCGGGTCGCCCCAATGGCGGACTAACCATCGATAATAGCATCTTTGTCCCTTCATAGCATCTTAAAGTCACCGCAAAGAATTAATTCCTCGGGACTTTGTAGAGCTCAGTAACACGCAACAAGAAGCAGGGGCTAATTTTAATCCTGTGAACTTACACTCACTCCAGAAACTATCGACATGGCACTATAAAGCTCAGCTGGGTTTGCTCCTGTCCAGATCTGCCACGTCATGTCGACATGTGGAATGCTCCCAGCACTCAGTGTAGTCGGACATGGAATCTGTTGGTAATTCGCAATACATGTTCCGAGGTCTCTCGCGGAAGCATCTATCCCAGCGGCTTGTACCTGAAAGTCTTGCTTTCAGTGTTTTAGGAGTGGTAGGAGAGAGATATATTGAACTACGTCCGGCTTGGTCAATTTTCTCCCGGGTTGCGTCCTTATACAGGTCGTACACATCTATAGTGCTTTAATATTCTTAATTGAAAGACAGAGGTGCTAGCATGTGTGATAGTAGCACGTTTGGTAAGACTTACGATCAGAGAAGTAATTATGCTTGTCTTTGGTGACTTATTTGATTGTTAATACACCGGTACTGCCAGACAGAACAGCCGTTAAATAATCGCACTACATATGGGGGTTACGATTTCTGCCGAAACATTACCAGGTAACCCTAAAAGCGCTATAAAGCTCATTTCTCGCTAGGAAAAGCCAATGTGATTCAGGACAGCAGTTGCAATAAAAGAGGCTGAATACACTTACGGGGCGGTTTGTATTCGCACCTGTGGATTTGAAACTCAATTGCGTTTCACGGACTGAAAAGATACAGATGGGTGTGTAAAGAATTGTATATCGTTCACAACTAAGCGCTTACATTCCCCTAGCTTCAAGACGACGCAGAGTGGCCCCATCGACAACGTGCCATTCGCAGATGGTTTGGTCCCTGTTGGGATGAGCTATCCTATCAAAATATTTTGGACGCCTTGGGCATTGTACGTCTTAACCTAACCCTAAGTTATGTGGTCAGTGAGGGAGTCCGAGATATTGAGGTGAGACTCCTCTTACTTCTCAGTGCAGCGGAAGCATGCGCGGACAGCATCATCCTCAACTTGCATCCTACTCAGCTGGAAAAAAACAGCGTCAACTCTTCAAAGTCGATAAAAATTATGCTCACTCTCTTACCGTTCCATCAACTCCACTGCTTCCATCCCCCAGTTGCTGATATCTCATCTTGTTCTACAATCGCGTCATGACTTTTTCATACATATCGGCCATCCCCCAAACCTGTCGATGACAAGGTCCACAACGGTAAGTTTCTAGCTGTAGACAATGCTATGGGGTACAGACCATCAATTTAAAGAACCCAACGGGCGGAAGTGCATTATCTAGCCTAAAATCTATGACAAGATCCGATAGCGTAGAGTAGTATTTATCTGGGATAGTTCCGTCGGCGGCCCGTTCCACACCAATTTTGAAACCAGATAGCAATGCAGAAGCATCTGCAAGCAGCCCAGCATCACTCAGTTGGCTCAACAAAGATGCATTTTAATCGTCCTGATCTATCGACCACACGATAAGGCGCCCAAACGCATATTCATCGCAATGCTCGTCTTCTCTTGAACTACGTGCGTGACTGTATAAATGATCGTAACAAATCTCAGAGGTACAACACATCTTACTTAACAACTCATCATCAAAACCAATCCACTCTGTTTCACCATGGTACGTTGATTTCAAAGTAAGCAAGAGCACCAGGTGCTTTGGTCCATTCTCCTGCGATGGCACCATTCGGATAATTTTCTCCGTCAAAGTTCCCAGGGTCCATCCATGGACAACCGAGTTCTGAACATTTTGGATCTTGCAACCTGAAGGAACGACCATAAAAGCCTATTATATGTGGCATGCTAGCTATGGCAGACGATACGCAAGTTTATTGAAGTGTAGGAGCTCTACTGACCAATTCCCAGTAGAATTTTATTTGTATCCACTCCTGCCTAATAAATTCAAGAGAAACGATCAGGTCGCATCAACAACTTCACGAGGTAGGTAGGATGTGTATCCAACCTTTGTAGTCATAGTAGGTGTTTGATCTATATTATTATACACGCTTAAGGAATGACCGATGGATGGCTGCGATAATCCCAGTTTCAACGCAAGTCGTAGGTCGTGTATACAATCTAATCCAGTTCTCGGGACATTTCGGCAATCTTGAACCATTGCAAGGACCATTGCGATGCTGGTGATGCCATAGAGAGGGAAAAGCTTTGCTGAAATCGTTGTTGCAATTCTATGCTCAATTGCAAATAATTCTCCGTATCCTGTAAACCTCTGGACGGTACACCCGGTGTAGTGTTTCAGTCACCGGCTCCAAGGAATTCCCAATCATTACCCAAACCCTCTATGTTGGAGGTGGATCAGTTTGAAGTCAGACACCGTCCTTGCTTATAATAAAGCTTATGAATGCTAGTCTTACCTAAATGGTAAGTTTACAAGAAAGCAGTCAAGGCGATGATGGCACCCATCGAACACTCAAAGGATCCCGATGAAGGTCAATTGAAGGTTACCTATGACAGTTTCTGAGAGATTGTGCTTATATGTCGAGAATGTGGATGATGGGGATGATGGATGTAACGGGGATATAGAGGATGTCACGGGGTGATACATGGAAGAGCAAGTGATAGTCTACGTTTTGAACATCTTAACAATCCTCTTTGCAAACCAAGCTTACAGCCGACTCGATGAAAATTGCACGATTTTGCGATGAAGAGGCCATATCTGTGAAGCATCCTTGTGTCGGAGGATCATTAAAAGCCAATCTGCTGCATTGTAAGACGAATTAGTGACAACTTGCAAACACTAACTTAACCTGACAAGCTCCCGGTGTACACCACTGAAATAATCAGTTTAATATTCGGGTTCTAATGCCGCAGTTTCTGCATATCCCACAGTTGCTGGCGGTTGAAGTCGGACTCCACATCCAACTGATAGTCAGCAGTCACTTTAAGATTGTGGGCTGATTAACACCGGGCTTCGATATTCAGAAGCCCACATTGAATTATTTACCCATGCGTCCATTGGGTCGCGATAATGTCGGTAACCTAAAACTTACGGCACTTGCCTCATTTGCGACGTTCGCTAGGAATTGTCATGTCACAGTTTTGTTGGCATCCATTTACCAGGTGCGCCAGGGACGACAGTGCAGAATTCGGTCGTGGTACCACCGAATCCCGACTTTCCACAGCATGCTTTGAGTGTTCACACAAGACTTCCATTTGTTGCCACTTCACATTGTGCCTCTATGCATAACCCCAAAGTAAGCAACTGATAAATACTGATAAATGCCTCACATACATGGACTAATTTTAGGTTGTGGAGGAGTTCCAGGCGACAAACACACTTTCATCCCATTCTGTAGGCTTGCTACAACCGGTCCATCGCCAATTCCTTGCAATCCAGGATTCTATCTCTGCACTGAGGTTCAGAATCCACAAATTAGGAAGGGAAATAGATAGCTCAACTAATCACAATAGATTGTTCATATCCTACATTGAAAGCGCAGCGAACTTTGCGCACTTATCAAACTCGGAATCACGTCTGACTCATGTTTAAAAATCCTGAAATATCGGCGACAGGGTTTAACTCCTTTCGAGCAACAGTACCGTTGAAAGGTTTGTGAATGAGTGCACTGAATCCCGGTTCGCCGCCATCAATATACCGCAGGAGCTGGCAAGTTGATCACAGCATTTCCGTTCTGGCCGACTTCCACAAATCGGCAACTTCCATCCGGCGACAGCGTATCGGTGGGGTGTGGGCGTTCCAGCAAACACACAGACGTTGATTGGTCGTACAGCACCAGGGCAAGCACAGCTTAAATGATTGTAAGCCTCAATAACTTTCGCACCGTAAGCAATCGCAATGCTGCCACAGTCATCTCCAGATAGTAGAGTATGAGCGTTACACCACCCATTAGGCCCTGAGGTTCCATTCATGAACTCTATTTCGATAAAAGTGCAGAATAGAGAATTGTAAATGCCTGCAGGCGGAAAGTGCATTGTACTGGAGGCCATACTCATCCTACCTATCTCTGGTTGGCCTTAGGGTTATCGCATTATCAAATCACAACGCCCATTCCCATGAAGACCTCGTTGCCAAATTGTTTCTCCTGCAAGAGAATCAATCAAGCGTACATCCCCTCCTCTTTGATAAAACTCATTTTTCGTCCAAATCATCCGAGATCCGCAATCGAGGAAGCATCATACCCTATTTTAAGAGTATAGGAGCCCGGAACCAGTCTATTCTTCTCAGCTACAACAGAGTTACGGTCAGTTTGGTCCGTATGTGCAACCCTGCAAGCCATATCAAAAGATCCGCGAGATGAACTCACCATTGATAATAGAGTTCCCATCCACGGACTTGAACTGGCCAAATGAGAGACGAAGAGTTCCGTTTTGCCAAGTGCAGAGCCCACAATGCTGTTGCGCTAAGTGGTTGTAACCGAGTATGCATAACGGTAGCAATTCAAAGGACAGGCAGTACTGCTGAGTTCCCATTAACAGCATGGATTGCAAATAATTGGACAAGAAGAGCGGTAAAAACTCTCACAGATTTACCACGATCTCCCTTGTTCATTGCCATGCTGGGGCTAGAGTAAGAGGTATGAGGGCGGCTTGCAGAGTTTGTCGACGGGAGAGTTAGGTTTCCACCATATTAGATGTGCAGGTGGGGAAAAGCAAACCGGTAAAAACTCGGCGAAAATGGCCGCACGGCTAGAATGTCTCCCACCGTTCTTTAAATTTTACAAGCGCTCCAAAACGAAAAACATGCAATACAACTCATGACAGAAGAGAAAATAGAAAACGCCAACTCCGATCAAATGCTCATTTTGCTTCTAACGTTTTTGCAAGAAGGAAAACTGACCAGGCATTAACTCCAGATATTGTTTCTTATTTTGTTGTGGGAGTTCGGCTGCAGCACTCCATTGGTCTCGTTTCCTGTTGACCTAGGGCGCCTCATAAATAGACTGCATCCTTGTGCAGTCAAGGACTTCCTGACGACCTCAAACATGACGTTCACCACATTCAACATGTTGGCGGGAGTCGCTGGCTTCGCGCAGTTGGTTTCTTCGCTGGTACTCACTGATGTATATCGCCTTGCAACCTCTAAATACTGCCTTCATGCACCCGGCACACTTACCGCTGGAGTTCAAGTTCAAGCCATTGGTAAGGACGTTTCCTTCAACTGCTCTGTAACTGCTTACATCCTCAAATAACATTTTCCCTTAGTATGCCATGCTGGGAGGACTGACCTCATATTGGCGCTCGAGTTATTAGAGGGTAGAACACAGCCCCAAGATCCGGGATTCCTTCACTCGCAAGCAGATCCTTCGTTTTGCATGCAAGACTCTACAGACAAGGTTACATGGGAGACGTGTGACATAAAGAAAACAGCACAAGCTTGGGAAGAGATCCAAGTAGATCCAAAACAAGTTCGCTACAGGAGCATGTCTTCGGGAAATTGCACCAGTCCCGCCCTACCGCAAAATGACTTCTCCCTGCTCAACAGTACCGCTGTAGCCAACGCTTCTCCACCTGTTTACCCTATGCTGTTGAAACCCTGCGCGGAAGCAATCACTTATACGTTCATATCTCCCGAAAATCTTGGTGCGATGTTCCCTCTGCCTGCTCCTACCGGCGCTCCTACTACGCCCCCATCACCTACTCCGTCTGTCCCGGTCCAGGTTCCGGGCGAGGCGAGACCTCAGAATGGTGACTGCCATTATGTTTATTCCTTGCCCAACATGGGCTTGGGACTCTACTGGACCTATCAGGCCAGGTAGCCCCTCGCTGCTTATACGTGAACGAAGAGAAGATCAAGTAACTGACCTTGTCTTCTTTCCCTGGACTTCAGTGATAATGGCACATACACCTTGGCGCGCGCGAGCTTACCTTCCAAAATGTCAATGATCCTCAATCCCTTTTCCATCTTACGGGATACTTTGCGGTTGAGCGCTTACTCGACACGACCGATACCTTCAGATTTCGGGTATGTGTGACTTTCATGACTCTTCTCGCAAAATGAGATACCAAACCCTTCTGCGTAGTTGGGAACCCGATGCATATCCGTATCCGAAGCACCGGATGAGCGTCTGGAGATGATAGCCTGCGCTATTCCCCAAAAATCCGTCACCACTGCCTCGCCGCAATTCCTCGCACAAACGTTCAAACTCGGTGAAGTAGCCTCTCTCAAATTGTGGCGGTTGCTAGCCGATTCCTAACGCTATTTCTATGCTGCAGATTGTGTTTCCTCTAACACATTGGACTTGAGTGAACCCCTGCTGTGCTCAATCCAGACTGCTAAAGGACAATGCAGCAAAGCCGAATTTAGTACTGGTATCGTGTACCTCCGAAGTCGCTATACAAGAGTTAAATTGATGATAGTTCAACTAATTCTCTCCTTCAGTGTCAGCAAATGTCAGTTACCCTTTGAAGCCCGTTCTTCCAGTAGCCAGCGGCCGACTTGATTGTCCGAAACAATATTTTCTTTCACCTCTTCCAAAGTCAGTTCGCTTGCGACTATCTACTTTATGTAATCACAAGCTCATGCGCTAACAGTAATCATCCAGCAAATGCTGGGCTGACATGTTGTCGGATCCCTCCACGACTCTTGCTCCAAGTGTCCCTCAGGCTCCGACGGCCTCTGCTGCGACAGGATTACGTAGACTAGTTAGAACCACGGGACGTTGCTACATTACTGTTGCCGTGGTCTTCTTCATTATGGCAACACTCTTTTATATTTAGAGCCGCAACACCTATAACCAATAGATTACGGATTATTTCAATCTCACTACCCTCTCCTTGTTCCCCCACCGATTGGTCGTGTTTTGACGGAGCTCGTCAGTGGCACCACAACAGATACTTTGACCGAGAATGATACTCTCCAGGATGCCAAAGCGGTTTTGTCAGTTAGAATTCTCCGCGGAGGGCGAATCATATACAGCGTTAATGCAAACCAATACGTCACTGCCGAGGGTCCTTGGAAACGACCGTGCATACAGCTGAAAATGCAAGCTGATGGTAATCTGCTTCTTGTAGATTCTAGTGAAGCTTACGCTAATTGGAAGTCTGACACGTGGAGTAATCGTCAAACATCTCCGAACAGAGTGACACCAAGTCAAGAGAATGTTTTGGCAATACAGGACAGAACGGAGGCGATTCTGTTCAGTTGGAAACCCACTTTGCCGATAATGCCGGTGCAGCAGCTTGTCAGTGGTGGTCAGGACACTCTTGTGGAAAATCAAGCCCTGGAATCTACGGACAACCAGTGGTCGCTAGCACAGGTGTGTGGACTGAGGTACTCTGATTCGTTTTTGGCAGCGACCAGCTCGAAGGGGCCGGCTTGCTGACAGCGTAAATACTGAAATTTCGGGGAGTTTACGACAAACGCGCAACTGAAAAGTAGAAGGCCAATTTAGCACATATAGCGGATAGCAGACGCAACGGTGGTGGTGCCTGCAGCTGCCATGACTGGAAGACCAGATATTCTCTAAGCAACGTGAACGAGAGAGTGAAACAGAGAGTGAGAGTGAAAAGCAAGGCCTGCACGCGTCTTTGGCATTTGTCTGTTTTGGGTCAGTAAAGCGAAATTATCTTTTCGGGCATTTTGCACTTCCCGATCTGCATGCAAAAAAAGGTTCATGTCAAAAAAAAGTTGAGAGTTGACGTTTGTTCGCGCATTTGCCGTCTCCGCAGAGCCGCTCTCTCCCACGTGAACATCTTAAAAGTTAAAAGTCTCCCATGGTAACGGAAATTTTCCGTGTCTTCCAAATTTCCCTGATAAGTGTCTGCGTACGCGCACACCTGTCTCCCCGCACCGCCTAAACCTCCGACAGAAATTTGACATCTCCGATCAAGGGGGAAATTCCATTCCCGCGGGAAGTCTCCGTATTTTACCCATTCTTGCTTTTTTCCATTTTCTTGCAGATCCTTGGCGAGAAAGCAAAATGTTCAGGAAACACTTTTTCAAAAGGAAAATGCAGCCATGGGGAAAGTCAAGCCGCACAACTAGGCGCGGCTGTCGCCCGCATGGAGCTGCCGAGGCTCTTTGCTGCATTTGCAACGGTCTTTTCAAAATGTCGCAGCGTGGAGCGCTTATCAGCAACTCAAGCTTTCTGGTTTATTGCACAAGAGGAGGGTGCGGCACCTCTGGGCTTGGTTCGATGTGGCTCATAATATGCACCAGAGTCCGTCTTGGGAGCCTGCCCGTTTTCATCTACAGGTCCGAGTTCCCCAGCGGCACCAGTAGCCTGAACCTAATGACTGCAAACATGCTAAGAGTTTCAATTGCATCTCAACGGTGAGAAATTCGGTCGTGAGCTCGCCGCAACCTATATTCACATGACTATGATGAATCTGTCTCGCAAGCGTCTGGATGTTCAAAGAAGATGGACCGCTCCTATAATTCCAGTAGCTATATCAATCTACAAAGTATATTCTTAACAAATCTCTCAGTCTCATGCGCGATAACCAGTCTGGATACTGAGATACGCGTAACCCCGATTGCAGTGTGACTCCCAATGCGCGATGGCTTGTGATGTCTTCTTTTACTGAAGAGCAGGTAATAAAGCCCCAAACTGTTTCGCTGCTGAGCCAACACTTGTCTTTGAACAATAATTTTGTTCGGCCACATAGCAGAAACACGGTGAGCAACAAAGCTACTAGCTGGTATCTCCATCATAAATTACTATTCGAGAATGAGGTCCGCAGTGTGCATCAAGAATACCACCATACTGCTCTACAAATATATCGTCATACAATGTACATGCTCTACTTCTTGGGAGCGGGTTAATAAATACTAGTGATCTGATCAGTCCCACCTAGGGATTGATTTCCGGCCAGTGCTCTTTGAGGAATGCTGTAAGTCCCTCGTAAAGAGCAACATTGCCGTCCTTGTTGAGGTGGACCCCGTCAGCAAGGTACTTGCTCATGACACTGCCATCGTATCGTGCATCCGGTCCCAGGAAAACTTTCCATGTATCCAAAACAGGTGTTCCGGTTGCTATGCTCAGTTCCAACATTGCATTGCGAAAGTCGTTCATGGTTTCATGAATGGTATCTGGATCTGACCCGGGAGGTGGCGGTGTGATGAGTAACAACCGGGTGCCTGGATGGATTGAGTTGGCGATTTGCATCATCTTCAGCAGATTATTCTTGTATGCTGATAGCGACAGCTTAAAGGCATCGCTGTGGGGGTAAGTTTGATATTTTAGTATGGTAGCTTGCAGTATGTCGGGACTATTCTGGAACATAAGTCTTACTTGGTTCCCAGCATCAGTGTGATCAAGGTGGGCGAAGGAAACTGCTTTAGGACTGGCTCAAGTAAACTCAGGTAGTCGTCTGTGGTCCATCCTATGCACAGAAATTAGCAACCCGATGGCCAGAAATTGAAGAGAAAACATACCAGGGTTCCCTTTATTCACAACTTCATATCGACCCTTGTAACAGGATCTTAGCTGCATGGCCCATCCCATGTTCTCTTCGGAATCACCATACTGAGTACGGGATGCATGTGAGTGTAAGATACCAGACTTCAGTGTGAGATTCATTGGAGGTGATTCGTACCCTAGTAATTGAATCTCCAACAAGGGCTATAGATCCTTCTTTAAACTTCTCAGAGGGTGGGAAGGTATTCCCATTACGGACACATTGCATGGCCTGTGCGATGCTGGCACCAGGAGTGCATGTCAACGGGGCCAACAAATTCCCATAGTCCCATGCGTTGACGCGGGATCGGATGTACTCTGCCAATGGGATCGGAAGATGGTGAGCATCAAACGAATAAATCGTGCCCTCGCAAGTCTGAGTTGGACAATTTCATAATAACAAACCTGTTTCTGACGTGGTCCAAAGTCTATCTCCACCAGTAATTTGCAACACAGAGTACAGCACATCCGGTCCTTGTGAGCGCAAAAAGGTATTCCTGTTTAATCGTGCCTCGCAGCAGCATTTGCCTTGTCCAGGAGACGATGTGCGATTGAACGAAATGGTACTGACGATGGGATCCGTGGATTGTCCATAGAAGGTGTGACCACTGCTGTTATCACACACGGGATCACAACGGTCATCCCCCATCCCGTCCACGCAGAAGCCGACAGTATGCACTCCCGAGATTAGAGACAAGCAAACGAGGAAAATGGCCAAGGGAAACAGCAAAGCAAAGCCGATTACGCGAAGTGGCCTGATCTGATATAAACTCAGTTCGCAAGTAGCTTCAACATATCTGGATCTTGACAAACACGGTACCTTACAAGCCGTCTTGACACGGGATTCTTTGTGCCCTTCGTTGTCATGACGTTCTTCGCACCCTTCCTCCAGCTCATTACTACTTCCTAACAACGGCATTCTGAATCGAGGCGAATCCATTGTCAAGTGGGAAACACAAGGAGCAGAGCTGGTCTGATCCTCCTATTTGACGACCTTGACCTTCCCATTTTGACGATCTATATCCTATGCAATTTTCTCCAACCGGCAGTTTATAGTCTCCCGGAACCTTTTCTTAGCTCCCAAATTTGCGACAGTAGGAATGAAATTTAGGTTCCGACCAAAAGATTACATTTACCGTCAAACGAAGTGATTGTATAAGTTACACAAATATGGCCACAATATTTTAGCTAGAAAATGCTGGCTATCCATAAACCCAACTGTTCCATAAAGACCAAGGCTGGAGTACTGTCATCCGGTTGGCTCCACTATTACGAAGAATTGGTTTTATTTGATCACGATACCGGAATCGCAATTTTATGCATTCAGCTGTGCTGCACCATCAGCAGCTACTGTGCTTAACACACGCAGTCGCCATTCAGACTTTCCCTGTTCATGTTGAAAGAGTAAATATACAGGAAGTAGGTTCAGCAGCAGGGCGTCAAATGGCTTCATCTATGTCAACCTGGGAGAGCGGATCGCCACTTCTTCTGTTTTTTCGCTCGCTAATGGTGCGGATGATCTGCAGGAGAAGCGTTTGCTATCCATTTGTGGAACTGGAGCAGACTTGGAACGCATGTTCCCCGGCTATGATTGTGCGTTAGCGCCCCAAGCGAGGAGGTTACGACACCCGTGAGCTCCAAGGATGGTAGTCGCGCTTGAGCGCAAATGTACTGTATCGAGTCAAATCTCAAAAGCCATGGATCTTGGTACCTCAGCTTGGGTCACATGTCCTTAGGGCAGCCTGTAGCCTAAACTTCTAGTTTCGATTTTCTGGAGGACACACCCATCTGTACACTTCAGACACATTGTGATCTTTGTATATAAGGAAAACGAGCACCTGTACATCTCGAGCCTGGCTCCGAAAATAGTAGACCTTTTGTACTGCCTTAAGATTGAGTAGGTCGGAATTAAATCTTATCTGAAGAGTACGTGCCCAACCTGAAGCTTCAACTCTGGTGTCACACTATAGCACCGAGACTGCCGGTGCCTCGTTTAGTACTTTGAACGGTACATAGGAATAAACAAGCACTATCATAGCGTACATGACTACTGATCGACTGTTTCAGATATCATCGTTCGCGACGCCCGGCTAGATTACATTGACTATGAAAACAGTTGAACGTAGTTTTTTTGATGGCTCTGAACATCTTCCACTGTAATAAGGACCCTTCATTCTTCCTAACCCTACCCAGTGGAAGCGAGATATGAAGGGTCGAGAAGTGCAAATGGAAACATCTGCCAAGACTATCTTACCAGATACTTCCATGCTCGAACTTTCCCCTGTAACATATAGCATTATTTAAAAGTTAGGAACAGTGGTATGTTCCGAGTAGTGCACCAAGACCATAAATCTACTTGGCAAGCTCGTTCTAAGTCATCTACTGCAGCCATCATAAGCGTAGCATTTGAAGAATATAAATGAAAAATGGAAAAAAGCAAGAAAGGCTAAAATACGGAGTTTTCCGGGGACACTCGAGAAAATTTCCATTACCATGGGAGACTTTTAGAAGTCGGATGTTCACAGCAGTCAAAAACGCTTTACTTTTTAATTTGACATGAGACCATTCTTGCATGCCTGGAAGTGCAAAATGCCGAAAAAATAATTTCGCTTTTTACTTGCGAATGAGACAAAATGTCGACAACCCGTGCAAACGGCAGGCCGACATGCCCGCATAGATTTATAGCGCTAGAACAGCAGCCTTGTCCATTAACCAATTTGGCCAACACTCTCACTTTCAGTAGTCAACTTTTCTCTGGCCTGTTGTAGCCTCGGCTAAGCACACCTCCTGGACATTTGCCACTCTAGCAGCATCATACGCACCGTCAATCACCTCGAACCCCTAATGTAAGATCCTACCAACACTCTGCACAGTTCAAGGGTCCTGATCTCAACATCCTCACCTTTTAGCATAAGCACTTACGCTTCCCTTTTTCAATATGGCGGAGTGCGCCCAATTGTGCCTTTTTTGTGGTTGTCCGATTTCAAATATTTACAAGGAGATCGAGAGATACGAGGAATTGGAACCATTTGAGGGTCTCCAGCGTGGTGACGCTACTTGGTAAGACTATCATATGTTGAGGGTTTCGGTGGTGATGGCTTCTCACAAACACTATGGAGTTTTAAAGGTTTACATGGGGAGTTGCGCTCTTCACAAATTATGTATCATACCCGGGAAGGATCGGTGGCCAGCGCCTTTTAGTGGTGGACGAGGTTTACCGAGGGGATATACCAAAACCAGGGGCCACTTATGAACCAGATGAGTTGCCGGATTTTGAGGATGCAGCAGAAGACTCAGATGAAGATGCCCCTCTGGGACCTTTTTCCACGAGTGGCTGGATCGGTTTGTACAGAAATACAGAACACTGCGTTCCGCTGCTATTCTTCTTCCGTCACTTACTCCGAGATTCCTTGAACCCAGAATTTCAAGGACTGGATAACTGTGCTGGTTCCGCTGCCATTGTGCACCATGCATGCCTTTGGCTGGCGATAGAGTGGAAAAGTGCTGGAGGCATACAAGAATTCTTCATGAGCCCTACCGGATCCATTCTTGAATGTTCGTGCCAGGGCTATAGCCGCAGCTGGACAGCGGGATATTTCGTGAGCCGTGAGAACCAGAAGGATGACGACGCTCACCGTGATCATAAATGCAGGGATCGGAGGTCGAAAGAAGAATCGGTAGCTAAAATTGGCTGGAGCGGGGCCATGTGCGTTGACTATGAAGCATTCAAAACAGGGAACAGCTGGGCCCGATGGATGGATGATGAGGATTATAGCTCCGACAAAGCATGGCTGCTGACCAGACCTGATCGGTTTCCAGCGCTCCCATTGGTTGCAACCACGGGCCTTTCTGGCGTCGAGCAGCGGCAGCAGCAGCGTTCAGATGTCCTAGCGAGATTGCCAACAGAGATCATACTGGCGATACTTGAGCTTCTCGTCGGCGACGACGAGCGCAGTCTCCTTCGTTTGCAATCAACGAGTCATTACTGGCGTTCCTTCTTCTTGGGAGACACTGGCTTGCCTCCGCAGGCAATGCAGGCGCTATATCGCGAACGATGTGTTGCTCTCGCATGGATCCCAACTCCAGTGGATATTCATCGGCGCGCAAAGCAATTTAACGCAGTTTTGGAGACTGCTGCACCCGGAACCATTGACTGGAAATCGTATTACGTATCCTGCTCCACATCCCCGAGTATGAGAAACAGAAACAGAATATATCGAAAGGTGTCGGATGTGTATGATTTGATCCAAGGAGGGGAGCGACGGCGAAGAGCATTCAATTCATTTGTGAAGTCAATGTGGGCGCAAGGATATACCGAGGACCAATATCAAATGATGTGAGGGGTACTTTGTTAGGTGGCGGGCCAGCAATTCTTGGAGGGTTAGGGTTAGGGTTAGGGTTCACGGTGCTTTCTATTAAGCTATAGGTGGCCCTATGGATTATATCAACAGGTTTCTTACCGTTGGCTTATGGCAGGTTCCCCATCGGTTTTGGAAGTGGAACTCTTGGTGTCGGGAGGGCATTCATCGTTTCATGTCAAATACCTCGCATGGAACACCCCAATCCTTAATCTGTCGGGTTCTCCGCCAGTCCGATCATTCCAAATATCATTATGTGGGCTCACTAACCAGTCGCAGAGCGAAATGGCGTATGTTACATAGATTCCCGGCTTTACAATTTTTTCCTGAACGTTGCCATCATCGTATCGACATTTCGTTGGATGGAGATTAAAGATCCAGCACCAGCGCAAAATTCTTTCTCACGCTCACAAGAAAGCAACCATCCAGTATGTGCCAAACCGAGGAGTTCGAATGAGCCACAGTCAAGCTTGAGCAGACACATCGAGGTGTATATGTCTCACTTTCTCACATATAGAAGAAACTACGCCTTCTGTCTTTTCCTCACGCTCCACCTTACTCTGCGAGGTGTTGTCGCAGTTGCGGAGACAGTTGGGGCTAACAAGTACCAGAGCCTCAAACTAGATGCTGATGCTGACACAGGATTCGGCCGAGTATTTGTTCATGCTGGGATTGCTAGGAACCAACACTTTCCTTGCCATACCCCGCCTTGAACGCCTCTGGTCAACCTCCTCATCACCGGTGTCATAGCCGTCTTTGTGGGAACAGTTTTTCTGCTTCCTGGTTGCATGAACAGGAGCAGGGTCATGTTCACCATCGGCCTTGCCTTATCAGGGTGCTTGGCAGTCCCATTTGTCAGACGCTCACGATCTCCGTTCACTCCACCATTTTTGGAGAGAAACCGCACGGAAAGGCCATGGGTTATTTGACTACCGCTGGTAGCGTTGGTGCAATTTGTTCCGATGATGACTCGGGTTTCGTACCTTTTTGGCCCACCCGGTTGATTTAGCCTTTGTATCTCCCTGGTCCTTCTTTTGAAAAAGTTACGTGAGTATGCGTTTCAATTGGTGTTTCGTAACGCTAATATGGATGACCTGTTGGAGAAGGTAAACTGCTCAATCCCTCAGGCTGGAATATATTGTTCACCGCAAAGAGTGACATGTAATTACACAAGCTATAGCTCTAAAGTGAATCACGGTGCAGACAATGGAGATGAGCGGAGAGTGGGGCGACAATCCTGGATCGTCAGAGATTCACTAGCAACTGTTTTGAAGAGATCGCTACATCCAAGAAAGACTCTTGTCTGTGCAAAGAGCGCTCTGCAATTAGGACTGTACACTTTCAGAGGCAACTTCATATGCCCTGTAGGAAACCCCCCCACTTCAATCAGACCACTGGAGTACATTTTCTCAGATGAATGGATAATGCACTCCTGTTTCTGTGTCTTGGGATGGTTGTAATTAAAATGTTGGAAAATCTTAAGAGCTTTTCTGCAGCATCAGCCAATGTTCGGGCGAGCATCAGGCTCTCTCCAAGATTTCTGTTATTTTACACCTTACCGTTTTGCCACCTGGGTGCAGCAAATTGTAAGGGTAAACGGGCCTGGTTCTTCCCACATGGAGGGCCCTCAATGAGCTAGTAGTCGATATCATAGACAGATCGACTAAATGGAAGACTGGTAGACTACTGGTTACGGCGCTTCTCTATGACAAAAAGGCTTGTCTGCCACAAAGAGTAAAAACGGCGGTTATTTTGACGATTAACAAAAAACTTCCGCTCTCGTGAATATGTCCAATATGGTGAAGCTTCAAAGCGCAATGGTATAGGAAGCATGGTCCGAGCATAAATGCCAGAAAGAGGCAAGAGTACATTCATTTGAGCGGAAGCTTAGTCTCGCGACAGAAACTCCGCTAATCGTCTTTAGCATTACTGGGCACGGCACGGTGAATGTCATAGGCTGCACGAGTTTGAGAATGTACGGTAGACAACTAGAAAGTTCAAATTTGTCATTGCTACTGCTGACGCAGGCCTTAACGGACGAAAATCATGCCAAACGATTGAGCTCCTTAACCTGGGGGGAGTTTGGTCCGATGTCAGATGGTTGCTGGCACGGACTGGGTTGGCATTGCGCACTCCACCAACAGGCGCCGCAGAAACCACAACAAAAACAACTTGCTCGCCATCACGTTGACGAGTCGCTGCTATTTTTAGACCAGAGGCACTACCTGGATGCAAGACGACAGTCAGATCCAGAAAATGCCCGACGCGGTAGGAGGGGCTGCCAAGGATCGGGATATTATCATGTCACTCAAGGGGAAGGCTGTTGAGTGTGAGCAGTTTTTTCTGCTTTCCGTCGATGGTTTGTTGGTGGTATTGTTGTAGTGACAAAAAGTCAGGTTTTAGCGCGGCTGCAAGCGTCTTGTCTGTGTGTCGGTGGTTGAAGCGGGTGACTTAATAGTAGGAGATTTTTGAGGGTTCTGATTACTATTTCCAATCTTCGGATTTTTTTCCACCCTCACCGGACCCCAACAGAGCTCGCTGAAAGTTGCCACTATCAGTAGCAGAGACATACTTTGTGCAAGACCGCCTTTCCGCTTTCTGCAACCTGGTGTCGGTAAGGAAATATGTTCATCTCTGCTAGAGGTTGAGCTGTGTAACGCTAACTCAAGTACATCTCAAACAATACATTATAGATAGCGCTCGAAAAGAGCTATAGAGTGCCTTATACCCTGCCACTTTCCTTTCGGCCTTTTTCTCCAAAGATACCTCGACCTGCATGTCCCTGTCGCTGCCAGCCAATCTCCAAAGCATCTTCCGCACCATCAGCGGCAGCGTTTTGGCCTCGAACCAGCAACAGACAAACCAGCAACAACCAGCTCGCCAGCAGCAGCCGACCAGTTCGTCGTCAAACACGTCAATGCCCTACGGTACCCCATCTCAGCCGTCGTTGGCAAGCGTGACGATTTCTCCTCGTCAGAGCGAATCGGATATGCAGGTTGACGATTATCATCACGATCACCACGGACATCATCACCATCACCACCACCACGATCATGACCACGACGGTGAATGGGACGAAGAAGGAGACTACGACGGGAGCGATGTAATGGATGATGGCGATGACGGTGATGATGGACAATCCGGCGGTGCTGGGGACGGCCACGGGAGCGAACAGAGTACCGAGGATAAGGAGCAAGAAGCAAAACTTCACCAACATCAAACTGACTTGCGTAAAAGAATTATGATGATCCAACAAGACAATTCCATTCCACCTGCAGACAAAGCGAGACGTATTCAGGTTCTTTTATCAGTGTCGCTTTTGTCACTTGGACCAAGTCTAACCAACGATTCATGTAACAGGAACTGATGACCCAAGGCTGGTCGCAAAAGCAGCAATCGCGTTCGACTGTCAACACCAGGGTTACCAATCGTCTCGAGAACCGCCGTTCAAACTTTAATGAACTAACAGATGCCGACAGGCAACCTACATACCATGACAAAGCCAATGGCATACTCGGATGCAAGCATTATCAAAGAGCGGCGAAGCTTCAAGCTCACTGCTGTGGAAAATGGGATACCTGCCGATTTTGCCATGACGAGGTCAGTGACCATAATATTGTGAGGTAAATATGTGAAGAAAGTTTGCTGTTATTGGAGTATCATCGTCGGAGCTCACAATCGTCTTTAGAAATTTGATCACAACCATGATGTGCATGTACTGCTCCACTGTACAACCCGCTGGACAAGATTGTATCAACGAAAAATGTGGCCGGCGGGTAGCCAAATACTATTGTAAAGAATGCAAGCTCTGGGACAGCGACCCTCGCAAGAACATTTATCACTGTTACGACTGCGGTATCTGTCGTATCGGGAAGGGGCTTGGCATTGACTATTTCCACTGCAAAAAATGCAACGTGTGCATGGCCATCAGCTTGAAAGGACGACATAAGTGCATTGAAAGGAATCTGGAGAGTGACTGTCCTATATGTGGAGAGTACATGTTCACCAGCACAACGACAGTTATTTTCATGGTTTGTGATTCGTTTGGAAACGTTGTACGCAACCGACATAGACTAATCTCAACAATTCCGCAGCCATGTGGTCATTGCATTCACTACAAGTGCCACCAGGACTACATCCAGACTTCCTACCAATGCCCGACGTGCCTCAAGTCTCTCGCTGATATGAGCGACTATTTCCGTCGCATCGATATTGCTCTAGCTCAGCAGCAGATGCCACCAGAGTACGCCGATCTTTTGAACCAGATCTACTGCAACGACTGCGAGAAGAAGTGTTACGCAAAGTTCCACTTTATGTACCACAAGTGCGTAACATGCAAAGGATACAATACCAAAGTACTCCACACGGTCGACACGAGCCAGGTACCGCCGGACCAGCTTAAGCTAGTTCTGGCGTTGAATGAGACTGCTGGGGGTTCGTCACCAGCCAGCCCGACAACGGCGGTAAACCCCGAACCGCCGGAGGTGACGCAAGAAGAGTCGACCAGAAGGGCTAGTGTCGGGGGTCGGAGCTCTACTAGTAGGAGAGCGAGTATGGTACAGCGAGGGGTCACATATTTTTGCCATCAATGTCAGGCTGCAACCAATCCCGTCATGGTGGCTGGCACGCAAAGGTGCGGGACTTGCGATTCGGACTTTCTGGAGCAGCTCTAAGGGATTGGAACAGTTGGAAGACTTGAAACTAGTGAAGGGACGGTTTAGATAGAAGAAATATCGTCATGCAAACACTCCCTTGAGTAATTGGCGGACATGTGTGACAGGAATGTGTAGGTTCCAATAAAAGCCAACTAACTCCAGTCCAGAGGTGCCTAGTGATGAAACTGACCAAGTCTGCATGAACACATTTGTTGGGGCTCGATCCTTCAATGGTTGATAGCGATTCTATTGTACTCATCTATTGGAATATTAACGCAGCTACATAAAGCTATTCTCCTTTTCCCCGCTTATGATCTCTAGGAACGATAACAGGAAGGATTCCATAGTACTTAAATTCTACAGTATTCGCCTTCCCCAGTGCTAAAAGGCGCATGTATTGGCTCAAAATGACTGAACCGTAACTACCGTATCCGGTGAGCAGATGCCACCTGTTATAGAGGGGAAGGGACGGACATCAGCACGTGATACTAGAATGGACAAATGCGTAAACCTACCAAGCGTGCAATTCTCCCAGAACCCTCAGAGGATAGCCGGTGGTATTTTTCCATGAACGAAAAGCATCACAATAAAAATTGTCAATATTCCATAACAAAAATCTATGGTGAGAATAGTTGGATTAGAAGGTCAACGTCCCAACATACTCCAACGAGGCCAACGACGCTCACCCAAAGAGATAGCTTCCCAAGCTTGTCACATAGAGGAACCATAACACTCTCTTTGTCCCCGGATAGATTCGACCAAGTTTGTTAATATGCGCAATAGGCACAAGAGACGTTATAGCAACCAGGACGGCATAGGAAACTTGATGGAAAACGGGATCCCGCAACATTATGTAGACGACAGTGACAAACAGCGCATACACCGCGAGAACGATCGATGTGAGTGTGGGAAACTTCCCCGGAGGAAACGTTTGAAGACTACCATGGTTTTCGTTCAAAGTTAGCTCTAATGAAATTGAGTCCACGCTTCACGTAAAAGCCCACTTCAAGACATACGTGGAAAAGACAAAAATGCAACTTCCATAGATCATGGGCAGCTCATCCATCAATTGCATCTCATAGGTCAAACTCCCATGAAAGGCGGCACTGCCGGTCCCCACAACAGCCAACGCCAGGAAAGAGTATATTATGCGTGCCTCTGCCTTAACGCGGACAGCATTATATATACCAATGAGGGCGGTTACATGGAAGACCAAATTGCTGGTCGTGTTCCCTGGTGGTATACAGAGGGTATTACATCAGAACAGCCAAGATGACATGCCGCGAAAAAGTCCACGGCAGAGAGAACCACAAACCACTTACACCATTCCGCTACGTAGTGTGATAGCAGGTAATTTTCTTCGCACCAATCCAGGGTCGACGTAACAGGACTGTGCATGTAATAATGATACAGTTTTAATAAAATTTCAAGTTTCAATTATAAGCACCATGAATGCAACTGTCGGGCCCAGTAATACTGACCCCCAGAACCCTTCCACACCAGCCGGAGTTAATCCTGACATGATTCCAGGGTACGATTAGGTCTTCTGCATATTACGGCTGCCTGAAGCTGCTGAGATCTCAGCAAATCACGTGGGTAACGATTACAAAAGCATTCCCTCAGCATGAAAACCAACAGTGTTGCTAATCAAAAAGTGTCGGACGCTCTTGTCCATTTTTCTAGATACTTTGGAAGTTGAAAGTTGAAATTCTCATTGGAAAACTTGGCATAGGCTGATCTGGAATGGTGGCTCTTGCCCAAAGACATTCGACTGCAAATGCCAACGACCCTAAATGTATCGACCCAAAAATAAACATAAAACTTTGCTAATTTTAGGCAAGGAAAAAGAGATACGTTTATTTCAACAGACGTCATTGCCAATTGTAGGGGGAGAACAATGTGTCCCAATACCAAATTCCTTGTTTTGTTAGATGGTGGCATAAACCTGCGTAAGACATGGGATCCAGGCCACAAGCTATAAAGGAGGGGCATGTAGTTAGTGGTCCCTTTTTTTGCTTATATATATCCATCAGCTAATACACAAGAAGACGAACGATAAGAAAGACAGCTTTGAAGTATGCTCAAGTGGTTTTCTTTGCTGGTGCTGGCAGCCGTGGTAGTTCCTCGCGCTACTGCCAGTGTCTTCCTTACTACCAATGTGCACGCAGGTCCATCTTGCAACAGTAAGGCGCTTGCTTTTGTCCCATCTGTCAGAAATGTCACAGTGCTGAGCATCTGATTACAGGCAAGATCGTCGCCTTTACTCAGTTGAATGTAACGTGGATGCTCGAAACCAGTGGCCTCCTCAACGTGTTGAGCAACGCTACGGAGATGAAAATGCTCTCAGACTTCTTGCATATAACCGTACCCACATCGATCAGCACATGTAACGATGTCGTCAACTTCTTAACCCTACTTGACAAAATTGAGCAATTCCAAGATCAAGATAATTCCACTTCCCCTCTGGCATTGGGTTTTAATATTACGGCAACTGAACAAGTGAATGTCACATTCAGCTCTGAGTCGTCGAGCAGGAAAAATTTCGGGCCAACGGCGTTCGGAAATACGACAAGGCTACTGAATGATGAGTGCATTCCCGTCAACATGACAGGAACAATAATGGGAACAAGCGCAAGATGTAATGCCGGCTCAACCTCACCAGCTCTTCCACCCAGTGCCGACAATTTTGTAGTAACATACAAAAATCTTTATGACACAACCTGCAACTGTAAGTGGACGAAAAGTGTACCGATTATGCGGATGCTAATTTTTCATACTTATTAGATGACCATGCCAGTATTATATATGGGCAAGTAGCTGATGGCACTTGCTACGGAGCGTTACCCATAGTTGGTTTCCAGTCCATCGACGACGCGAGCTGTACCAAAGCGGTTTGCACGAACAATAGCCCGAATGTGACAGCGTTCTCCAGTAGCGGGGCAATGCTAGCCTCCCTATCCGCAAATGATACTCAGTGTCAGATACAGTCGGCTCCAAATTCCACTAGCACGTCGGAAAAAGTTATTTGCAAGGCAGGCCTTCGGTCGTTGGTTACAGTAGCCACCAAAGACGTGCGAACCTGGCCTGCAAACTCTAACCAAGCTGTGACTTTCCCGGGTAATTTGGGGCTAAAGCTGTCCGCTAACTCGGACGTTCCTCTAAACGTCACGGTTGCACCTACTCCCTCCGTTGCGGGAGCGCCCCCAACAAACGGTATCAATACGTTTTATCACTTTGAAGTTCCTTCTGGTACCCAGTTCAAGGCTGACCTTACCTTCACCTATGATGCCAATCGTACGTATTTTAAATATTGTACAGCGATAATGGCGTTCAATAACCACCTTTTTACCTACTAGTCCTTTCGCAATATCAGTATAAAGCCGAAGACCTCAAATGGGCGGTTTATGACGAGTCATCTGGCGTCTGGAACGTGAAGACAGGATCCACTGTCAACACGGGCTCCATGACTGTACTATATACCACATCCTCCTTTTCAGAATGGGTAAGTCTAGTCTTAAAGAGCTAATTGTAAAGAAACGAGTTCTGACCTTGATTTTAGACTATTGTGGCAGCCGCTACCTCGGCTGCTCTTACAATGACTCCGTCAATGCTCATGATTGTCGGCCTTTCCGTTCTCTCTGCATTTGTGACGATGAAGGGTTGCTAAAGGACTGAGTAGTATTGTAGCAGGCGTGCCCGTACATCAACGATTGGATCATTATTTCTGAGGCAACATACGTACGATGAGTGCATCATCGCGAGAGCAACGCATCATCTGCTAGCGGCATACATAGGTTTAAAATATGGCTATGTAGAGTTGGCTTTTGGGCATACCCTGAAAAAGTTTCTAGAACAAGTTGGCTACTTATATGCTCGTTGATTCGTATGATACCAGTAATAACTTAGGCTATTTATCTCTACGAATCTGGCAATAAATAATCCGCTTCCACTTGTCCGTGACACTACATAGCTCAACCTAATCGATTTCGTGAACTATTTACCTTTGCGAATTCTAGCAATAAATAATCCGCTTGTCCGCGACGCTATCGGACTGAACCGAATGGTATAAGAGAGGTCCATTTCCGGATAGTCATTTACGAGACTGCGCGCAAGCGGGAACTTATCCACCCCTGGTATTGGTTCGAGCTGGGCATCTGGATGTTGCTTGAGGAACCACGCTACGATGTCCTCATTTTGCTTTTTCGCAAAACTGCCAACGTGAGGCCCAAATATCAGTCAAATAAAAACGGTCCCATCCGGAGCTACAAGGTCTATTCCCACCTGCAAGTACTGTAAGAAATTCACACATTGTAAGCGTAATGTTTGCAAGTGCACGAAGTATCCGGACCATACCTGTACACTAATATTCCGCCTGGCTTCAACCTGTCAAATATGGCTGTCAGCTTCCCGGCCCGCACGGCACAGTAGTATGCTTCCTATTCACTTACAGTCGATAACCATTAGAAATCAAGCCTCTCTGAATGACAATGAAGATGCGAATTAGCAAATTTACCCCACGGAAACGTCCTAAGGAACCTCCTTGCGGTACCTGTAAACCTTCAAGGGTTTCAAGTCTTGAAGGGTTAAGGAAATTTTGTTCGATATCAGACCATCCTAATATGGCCTTCTTCAGCAAATGTACGATCGAGCCATCATGCGTGCATTCTGCGTCCACCAACACTTTATCATATAGGAGACTCGGGAGTTTGAGCTGGGGATCATTTCGGATCAGTCTGGTAGCATGGAATGGTTTGGTTTTCGCTCCTGTACCGGCCTCGGTGCGAGATGGTATGCAATGGATAGTACTGGACAGTGAGTTTGTTGGCAGGGAGACTTGATCAGCATCTAAGTCAACAGCATCATCTATGACACTTTCATGGCTTCGGATTGCAGATCCAGATGAGAGGAGGCTGGGGGTTACAGCAGACTTTCCCACTTGTGAGGGCGCATATACGTCAAATTTTGTTCCATCTGCAACAGGCATTTTGTGTCAACTTCAACTGCCGATGCTTTACGTTGGGCCATCCATACCAGCGATAAACAACCGGGCTCTTTCCAGACGATACTTCTTCAATAACCCTTTGCAGACGGCTATTCGATCCGGTGACAAATCAACCCCCGTTACGGTTCCCTGTCCATCAGATCCTTGAAGGTCAGCAACATAGCACAGCTTCATGCCAGGTGCACAGCAGAGATCTAGTACATGATCGTCTGGAGCGACATCAAGAGCATGGACCGCCACGCCGGAAGACACGCAGATGCCGTAGAACGATCCCCTTTTGAATAATGCTGAGTTTGCAATATTGACATCTCCTCTTAGTCTGTAAAATCCATCTAGCCAGTCCACCTTGGTCAGCGGAGTCCCAAGCTCTGCTTCCACCGCATTGATATCCAAAGCTGCGGCAAGTTGTGGTTTCACTCTAATGTACCGAGGAAGAGGTACTTCAAACGCATATTCGTCTAGACTGAGATTATTTTCTTTCAAGAATGCTAAAAAAGGTTCTGGAAATTCGATCGCTGGAGCCATGTTCTGGTGCGGGCAAAATTACGATAGACCAAAGACCTAACACCGCGCCACATCACCCAAGCCTTTCGCGTCCTTTACATCGAAAATAGGGCATTAAAAGGTCTACGATGTAATAGTCGTAGTATTCGAATTGCGAGTGCCTAGCGGAACTTGCCAGCTCAGATTGAATATATATTCTTTCCTCTTACTGTGCCAGACATAGCACACCCAGATAAAGAAACCCATTGTAACGGCGTGCCACTAGGTTTTGCTGCTTGGTTTCCCTTTGTATTCGGCGCAAATCCCGCGAACATCTCTAGGATAAGGATAGACCTTCGGAACCCTAACCCTAACCCTCTCCTTCTGCTTCACCTTACCTTGCTATTTCTCTTGCCTTTGAAAATGGAATAGTAATCCGATATGCAAAATCCGTACATGCAAAGTCATCAGCTAGACTTCGTACAGAATGTGGCTGTTGTCGCTGCTAAGACTGTCAACACGACAGACACAAGAAAATGATACTCACGCAATGATCAGATGTGTGGCAGACTCCATCCGCTCGTTAACCCTGCAGTTTCGCAGGTAATATTATAAGTCCCTGTTTGGGCCATGACATATTCAAGTCCTAGATGGTCAGACTAGTGGTGGGATACTAGTAACCTAGAAGTGTATGGCTGTTGGACAAACTTGTACCCTACGCTCGTTGCTGATATCTGTAAAAACTCGTTCGATCGACTACGGCTTACGTATCGGCGCGTACGCGTCGTGTAGAAGCTAGTCGTGTACTGTACGTGTACCATCAAACACATTGGGGTGCAAGAAGCCCACTGCAAATGTAGGCAGCCATGTCGATCGCATCTGTCGCCCACAGGTGAGGCCACAATGTCTTCGGCTAGACGTATTCACGCAAACGATTAAATACCTTTTTTCTGTTGCCAGTCGCGTGTTTGGCATCAACATCGATGTCCTCGACAACATCTTTTATGTGGATGAAAACACTCTTCTTTATTCCGCTGGCTGCAATGTTGTTAGTAAGTGGTTCTTGTTTATGGACCTATACCCAGCCACATACATGGAGTACCCTTGACGTGTGGTAACTTCCTTATCAAAATCAACCGTACAGTCGCCAATGTCGAGCAAGATTCGCAGAAATACATACCCTTGTCCGGGTATGGCATATGTGCTATGACCATATCCTCTGATCGGCATGTATTTGCCGTTGCCCAGCGGGGTGCGCCCGGAGATATGCCAGGAAAAGGCACCAGAGGCGCTGAAGGAGCAACTGCTTTGATTACAATGTATGAAATCCACAGCTCGAGGAAACGGAGATCAGTTGTTCCGATGGATGGTTGTATATCCAAGGTAAAACAGATTGCAAAAAGAGGTGGAGATCTAGCAGAAAGGACACCATGTCTAATGCTGCATATGTTGTGTTTATCCCGGAGTTCACCGCATTGTCGTTCTCCACGGATGCGAAATACCTGGCGGCTCAGGGTGGTGCCCCTGACTGGCTATTGCATTTCTATGTCTGGGAAAAAGGGAAACTCTTAGCAACCATCTGTACGAGCCAAGATGGGGAATCCGCCGTGCGGCAGATTGGAATCAATCCAATGGATGAAACAGAGCTATGTGTTGTCGCGGCGAAAGGAGTAAAGCTGTACCGGTATGCGGAAGGGGGATTGCGGGAAACCCCCGTGGCAGGTCTTGAACAGTTGGTGAGTGGTAAGGAGGCGATCTCTCTGGGAGGGCAAGATCTTATTCTTCTTTTCTATCAAGAATTACACGTGCCACGCCTGGCTGCCACCGGCTTCCTCACGGATTGCACTGGGCACTTCTACCGGACAAATTGTGATTATAAATAATGGAGAAGTCGTCCAAACCCTCAATTTCTCGGACTCGGTAGCATGTTTGATGGCACTATCGCGTGGATTTGCATGTGGAGGTGGTGGAGGCGTATTGCAAGTCTACGAACGCTACACTGAAGAAGCGCTTGCAAAAGACTTGTTCAAAAGTGTCAGAAAAATCCCACTACCGGAAGAAGCAAGAGTACGAAATATGACAGGAAGCTCCTCCGAAGGAATCTTGTTTGTGGAAATGGAAACTTGTCAAGTCTTCAAATTTGTGCTGACTGAACAAAAGAGCTTGAAGGTGGATATGCATTTTTCTGAAAATCGTCTATATATAGGATTTTGACCCTACTCTGTCCAGGGCGAAGAACCCAAGCTACGTCCGTTATCCCAGCCCTTCCATTCAGGAGCTGTGACCGGATTGGACACTTGCGTCCGGAAGCCTATCCTAGTGACTTGCAGCGTAGACCGGTCGATACGCATCTGGAATTATCAAACTAATACGTGCGAGCTCGTAAAGTATTTCTCCGAAGAGCCCTTTTCGGTAGCTCTACATCCCTCCGGCTTGTACATTTTGGTCGGCTTTAGTGATAAGCTCCGACTGATGAACATACTAATGGACGATTTGCGTGTCTTCCGAGAGTTCGGACTGCGGGGATGCCGGGAGGTATGATATCAGTTTACTGGCGTTCACGGACAAGGATGCTGAACGATGTATCTTGCAGTGTCGGTTCTCCTCCGGTGGTCATATGTTTGCCGCCGCACAGGGAAACATGATTCAGATCTTTTCAACATGGACTTTCGAGAACCTTGCCAATCTCAAAGGACACAATGGGCGAGTTCGATCCCTCGTATGGACGCAGGATGATGCCTATCTTGTCTCAGCGGGAGCAGATGGAGCTGTTTATGCGTGGAGTGTGGCGGAAATGAAGCGAGAAAATGAACATATCCTGAAAAGTACGGCGTATTCGTGCGCCGTAGTCGCCAAGGATGGGAAGACAATGTGGGCTGTTGGGTCTGATATGATGCTGAAGGTGCATTTTTCAACTGCCTGCTTCATATTTCTCGGCCACCAACGCATCGCCGTTTTCTCACCAATGTAGGAAATTACAGAATCCACCGTAACAATCGAGTTTGAATCAGATCAGGCATTGACCCAGCTGGTGCTCTCTAACTCAGGGCGCATGCTTTTTGCAGGTAGTCGCCAGCTCGGTACAGCTTGTTGCCTACACATCTTATAATAATCCTACCTTCTCGATAAGGAACTGCATCTGGGACTATTCGCGCAATCAAATATCCCCTCTCTGGTCACGCCGACGACTTTCAGGAACATATCGCCCACAGCGGTGCAATCACCAAGTTGCGCGTATCATATGATGATCAATACCTCTTCTCTGCGTCCGAGGACGGTACCATATACGTCTTTAAAATTTCGGACAAGGAGGAAAGAGGATTGAGAAGGGAGAGAGTGATGGTGTTTGCAGACGAGGTTGCTAATTACTAGCCATCAGCTCAACAAAAGTCGCGCTGGGAGTATTCACATCTTTGTTCACTAGATTCTCATCACGAAATCTGATCTTGAAGAGAAAACCATTCAAACCTCTGAGCTGCGTCGATCGCTGGAAGAGTTGCAGATAGAACACGAGTACCAGCTCCGCTTGCGGGACATGGCGTTTAACGAAAAAATGAAGGATCTCAGTGAAAAGTTCTCAGGGGAAATGGAGGCTTTGAAGATCTCGACCAGCGCATTGCGCACGGGGAAGGAGAAGGAGGAGGTCAAACATGAAGAAGCCATGGCGAAATTGCTTCAAAAGCATGCGACGGAACTGCATGTAGGCTCTTTTTCTGCGACGTCACGTATGTGCGTGATACTCACACAAATGTATGCTTTTGATGCAGGAGGTTGAAGCTCACTATAATCAGGAACTTATGGAGGAATATGAAAAATTCCAAGCTGCTCAACAAGATGCGCATGGCATGCAAGAATCATGGCAGCAACAGATGCGTAGATGCGAAACCGAAACTCAACAAGCACTAACCAGTGCCCAGGCGGATTGGGAAGGAAAGTTGAATCAAAAAGCAGCTGAGATTGAAAAGGTAATCATGCCTTCAGGCGTTATAGCGTCCACATAAACCGAGTGTAACGCTGTTCAAACTTGCAGCTTCAATCAGATCTTCGCAATCAACTAGCTGAACAGGCAGAGGAACACAATCAAATTACACAAGACATTGACACAGAGATTACACGTCTGCATGCAAAATACGACCGTAAATTGCGAGCTGAAAGGGAGGAAGGTGCCCGTCTCAAGGGCGAGAATGGAATCATGCGCAAAAAATTCAATACTTTGACGAAGGACATTGAAGACAACCGTGCAGAGATTGTGCGTATGAAGGAGGATGAGCGAACTTTGAAAGGAATCATTGACGGGCTAGAGAAAGAGATTACCGCCCTCAAGAAAGAGGTACGTAGTTGATGAAAAGCTTGGATAGGATTGCCGTTGACGTAGATGTCTCATTCATTAGATGTCGGAACGCGACATCTTGATTCAAGAAAAAGAACGACGAGTTTATGACTTGAAAAAGAAGAACCAAGAACTCGAAAAGTTTAAATTCGTCCTCGATTTCCGAATAAAGGAACTTAAAGAACAAATTGAACCTCGCGAGACCCATATCAAAGATATGACGACACATATTTCCTCCATCAACACTGCCCTGGAAGTGCTCACAGCGCAAAAAGAAAAATTCACTACAACCATATCCGAACTGACTTCGCGACTAAACCAAACAAAAAACACATACCGCAACCAACATTCTAAAGCACACCAATTAACACATTATGTAAAATCATTCTTGACGGACTTGGAAGACGCGGTTCACTACATACAAGAACCAGAGATATTGAGGGCCGCGGTTGAAAAACTGGAAGACAAATACTTGGGTGATGCTCCAAGAGGCGATTTGGTCGACTCTGGAATAGAGCCGGAGGTGGATCGGGAATACATTGCACAGAATCAAGTGCTCCGAGAACGTATCAAAGAGTTGCAGGGGGTCGTCGAAGGGAATTTGAAAAAGTTCAGAATAGATGAAACAGGTAGTGTGATGGTGAACAGAGGATTGATTGGGTACGTTAATTGCAAAGGTACAGACCAAGCAGAAACGGCATGTTAAATTACTTTTGCTATGCAGGGACATCAATCGTCTTCGTCGAATGACAAAGCAAAGCGCAAAACAAATCAAAAACCTGCAAGTGCTGGCGATAACGGAAGTTCCCGTCGTGCCAGGCCGATCGTTGTCTACTTCTGGAGCATCTGGAGGTATGTAGTCCGCTATGAAACCTTGATGGTAGTATGTTTCTTATATTCATAATTGCTCACAATTGCAAACCACTACCAGTAGTCGCTGCCCTTGACTCTGGTGGAACCAAACTTCCCACGCTGGTTGAGGGAAGAGCTGGGGTCGGGGTGTCATGAGAAGGAATGAAGCTTAACACTTTTCTGTATAGTTATTGCCACCTTTTTTTGTATTATGCATCTTTTCATATGACAGAATACATCGGGTATTACCGAAATTGACAATCAAATCAGACATCCAGTGTTTGGTACTGCATCGAATAAATGTGCCATGATAACAGCGTTCGATTTGTGGAGTGTGAAAAGCCTGGCGGGATGGGGGCTTGCTGGTGACAACGTCCCTTTCGCCAGTTGACGTGATCATCACTCACATGCCTTAACCTACGTGACGCCAAATGGGGGACCTGCTTGTCCGGAAGGTTCTCACTTGTGTTTGTGAATGTCAACCTCCCATTTACTCGTCCTACTCCTATTTGGTGCTGCTTTACTCATTCCTCTGACCATCAAAAGGCATCATTCAAATTACTGGATATGTCTGCCGATACACTCTTCGACGCGCGGGACCATCTCCTGACGGTTCCTCCATACCATGCCCATAGAAGCTATATGAAGAGCTTGTGGATAGTCCCAGCGGTTCTTTTTGGGCTTTATATGGTACTCGTTATTCAAAAAATAGCATTTTTTATTTTGTGTCTGTCATATTTTCTCAGCAGTACTTTGTGATAGCTCACCCTCATCGGGCGATTTGCGGCGACCACGGTTCACATAGGTTGGGAGGCTACCAAGGACACCGTCAAGCGTAAAGCGAAATCGGCCGTATCAATTGTCTCTGGGTCTTCCGTCGCTCCCCCTTCGGTGACTGCAGCTGAAATTGAGCCAATTGAAGGGGAGCATTCGAGGGCTACGACTGTCTCACCTACAGACGAGCAGGAAGAAGAAGAGGATTGGACCTCGTTATGGGTGAGTTCTGTTATTAGCATGTGGTAGGTGATATTACATTTCCATTAATGTTGTCGTGCATGAAGCTTCGGCGCCTTCATCGTGCATCTCGGGCCGCTCGCAGATCCTTTTTGTTGTCAACCGTAATTGCCACCTTGGCTTCCTTGCCTATTGAATATGCCTGTCGTGTTCAGCCTATTGATGGGACTCCGGGTGCTCCCATTCCACTTCCTCCGTGTGGAACTTGTCTTGGGAATGCAGCTAGCTTGCCGCTCACTATTATGCAGTGGGTGTTCTTGGCCCTGTCAGTGGTAAGCAAATAGCAAATCGTATCCTGTGATTTTGTCAATGAGCACTAACATTTGTCTGCGGAACAGGCGTGGATTTTCCTCGATCTCTTCACATCACACGCATCTACTGTGGCTGGCACGCACTTTGTAATGACGCTCCTTGCTCAGTCCCTGGTCTTGGCATCGTTCATTTTAGCTTTCAAGCACTGGAGCAACTTCAGACGTCGCTCGTGCTAAGCCCAAGATTTCATCCGGAGCGACCAATAGGGCTTTTTTTTCCGCTATTTTGGTATTTTTTTGCAATTGGCAATTGTGAAGTTGGAAGTGTGGAATCTTGTCAACGTTTGTTACATTGTCAACGAGGCGTTGGCGTGGTATTGTTCATTCATTTGCTTAACAAGGTGTATGTAGTTAGCTTCGAATATATCATACCGCTGAGATGCGTTGAGTACAATGCGAAAAGATGGCAAGAATTTCACCACATGTGAGCGCTTCAGTATTGCACGAAAGCTTTCAACCATGTACATTCTCTCCAAGATCTGTCTCTCGTGAGTTCAAGCACAGTAGTGTGAACATCATGAATGATTTCTCTGTAACTCATGTCCATTGACAAATAGCTCTCTGGCTCCATTTCAACTAGTCTGATACTGTTTGCACTTCAATTCTGTGCTCCAGAATTGGAGCGATCATTTCTTTTGGGAGACTTTTTACTTTGACTGCCGCTCAAGTGTTTCTTACCACAAAGTGAACCGGTAGACTACGCATGCACATACGAGTTTCTGGCCGCAAGGTGGACATCAAGAGAACGCGGTCTATGTTTGGTGTGCTCAATTACTTCTTGCGAAAGGGAGGCCATCGCCAGTAGAGACGTTAGGGTGAAAAACAAGACGCTTGAACCTACGGCTCATGATGGATTAACAACTCGCATACCGCTTTATTTGGTCCGCCACATTGACAGGCCGGTTCAAAAACTGAAGAGCAAAACTGTCGTCATCCCCGGCGATGCCTCCTCCGCGATTCGAACGCGGGACCTTCTGCTTACTAGGCAGACGCTCTAACCAACTGAGCCAAGGAGGCGGGATGAATTGCCTCCTTGAAAAGCAAATAACATGCGTTTTCTGGTGACAGTAAGCCCAGCAGAACCTGCACATGTTTACAGATGCGTGGAGACGCTTAACTATCTATTGTATGCTCTATGTAGGTCAACTGCAGCAAGCAAAAAGTAATGATAATATCTGCTACCTGAGTGTCCCAAAGGTTGAACAGCGTGTTGCTTACATGAGGTTCACCTCAGCTGGAATGATGATAACAAAACACACAATACAATCGGTTGGTGATCGCTACTATAAATGGCAACAATTTGCCGCAACTTGTAGTCAGCACAAAAACAGGATACAGAATTACCAGCTGGCGACAAGTGTGATTTTGAGACGACGACGACGAACGACATCGACGTTTGTCTTTTGAAAGTTGGGCTTTGCCACTCGCTTGGGTTCTTGCCGCTAAAAAAACGCCCAAGTCTGTGTGTGTTTTTGCCCTCCGGGTGCCTAGAAAAAATATTTCTTTGGGTTCGCTACTCTCTCTCGCCGCGCGTCACTTTTTGAGGGAGACGTGACTTTGAGACGACCAGCAACATCAGAAGGGCTTGGCGTATTTTTTCTTCCCATCGCACGCCCATAATCATTAAGGAAATCCTCACAAAAGAAAACATTCCTGTCAATAAGGTACGTGTTAAAAGGGACGTCACTGCAAAGGGAGAGAGTTTGGCGCAGTTGATGATGATGGGTTCGCCGCTTTTGCGCCATGGCCGACAATTCTTCCCATCGGTTTCACGTGTAGCTAACCATTTGCTCCTTCTGCTGGTTTTTGTACAGTCCTCTACCGACGTATTTGTCCCTTCGCTCTTAGTCGTTGCGTCAGCTACTTGCCATACAAAAGCCAAGACCTTAGAATGCAGACAATCAAGTGTGTTGTGGTGGGAGATGGTGCGGTCGGAAAGACTTGCTTGTTGATATCGTACACAACAAACAAGTTCCCAAGCGAATACGTTCCGACGGTATTTGACAACTATGCTGTGACAGTGATGATTGTAAGTGTCTGACGTGCAACGAGAATATGAGCGAAAAGTGGTCTTTGGTAGCCACCTGAATCAGAGAACGCTCCGCTAATCAGTATTTATATCTCAACAGGGAAACGAGCCGTATACCCTCGGTCTTTTCGATACCGCTGGTCAGGAAGATTATGATCGTCTCCGTCCCCTCTCGTATCCTCAAACAGATGTGTTCCTGGTCTGTTTTTCGGTGGTATCCCCGGCCTCATTCGAAAACGTGAAAGAAAAATGGTTCCCTGAGGTAAGTGGATGAAGGGCATGTTGCCATTGTGAGGTACTAGGTTTCTGATACCAATTGGAATTCACCGATTTCAGGTACGGCATCATTGCCCCGGCGTGCCTTGTATCATCGTAGGAACGCAGGTTGATTTGCGAGAAGATGCTGCCACAATCGAAAAGCTCGCCAAAAATAGACAAAGGCCGATTGCTGCAGATGCAGGTGAACGTCTAGCCAAAGAGCTAGGCGCCGTAAAGTACTTGGAATGTTCGGCATTGACTCAAAAAGGATTGAAGAATGTCTTTGACGAAGCAATCATTGCGGCACTCGAGCCCCCTCAAAGCAAAAAGAGCAAAAAGTGCACTCTCCTGTGATCTCTACCGGCGATACCAGTATTTGGCATTTGGAATGGACGATGGAGTTGGTTTTGGGAGAGTGGCGATAAAATGAACAGACGGCGCGAACGAAGGGTGCTCATGATTTACGTTGCTTCACCCGTCCCTGTGTGTACATAATAATAATGGCACTCCCGAAGTAGAAGGGCATACGAGAGTGGAGCTGATGATGGTGGGCAGGTAGAGGGGAGAGTAGCGAGGGCTGTCGACGTATAGTAGCGTTTCTTTTTCTTTTTTCTTTGAAAATGGTTTGTTATCTTTCATACTCGTGGTCTGTCCTTGCCGTCAAGTTAGTTATATGCAATTATGGGCTTTTTGCTTTGTGATGTACGTGGGAAGACTGGCTTCAGCAGGAAATGTGCGCTGGCAAGTGAGGATTTGCTCTAGAGTTCCTGCGCTGACAGATCTTGAATGATGGAGCAGAGTTATTCTTGATTATGATCTGCGTGGATTCAAGGCATACCAGCTTACACCTATTATATAACGTCTACGCCTATCTCATGGCACTCCTACAAGCTATTGAGTGGATGATGATGTCCGCCCTAAACTTACCATACGAAGGTGTTGTGAGATGATCCTGAATGCCAGAAGATGGTGTTCAGTTCTCTACGTCACTTGCTCCACATATGTGCAAAGAACTCTTTACTTCACTAGCTCCACCTGTACGGAAGGATGTCCGGACGCGTCCCTTGCAGTTGACAGCTTCAGCTGTCAACGGACTTGAGCATTTCGCTACTCTCCATCTCACCGAAACCTCTTTTCGTCTCTGAAATCACACAATGAATGTCCCAACGTGTCGATGAAATCAATGCCACTTAGAGCGTCGTCTGCAAAACAACGGCAACAAGCTGGCTGCCAGTAGGCTGCCAGAATAACAGGATAATGACTCTTCATTCTTTGTGCGAGCTATTCCCGCAATATCCCAAGGAGGAGCTCGCCGTATTGCTTCAGCAAGAGAATGGGAATGTCGATGCTGTGGTGGAGACAATGCTATTGAAGCATAATGTTGGACCTGTGGAACGTGCGAGCAATGGAACAATTGTGGATCTATCGACAGACGATCTTGAGATAACAACCTCGAATGCACAGGCCAGCGGTAAGTATGTGGTGACCAGCTCTATGTTTCTTTCGAATCAGGTAAGGTGAGTGCAGCTGCTAAAAACCTGATGCTTTGCAGACAGTACTGCCCCAACGACTGGTCCACCAACTCCTAGCCGCCAACCGCAAGACGTACTATGCGAAATGTTCCCGGATGCTCATACCGATTATCTTGAAGACATTCTCCGAGCGCATATGGGTGATATAGCAGCTGCGTCTGAGGCAGTTTGTGCAGCCGATGGCAAATATCCGAAGCGCGCGGACTTTTTTGCTCGGGGCCAGAAGCGTGGTGCGGAGGATGACGAAGGTTCAAAGCGCAAGAAGCGGGATTATACAGTTGTCCTTGAAGAGCCTATGACCCGCTCGTACATAAATTCATGGTAAGGATGAGTTGAGTTTTGAAGATGTGATCTGGTCTCATCGGACTATAGTTATCAACAACTTCAAATCGATTACCCGGAAATACCTGCAAATAATATTAAAACGGAGCTCTCCAATTTCAACCACCAATACACTCCTACCTTCAACCGTCTTAAAGAAATGCGATCTAATCCCACGCCACCTTTCAAGCGACTCACCAGGGGTCGTCACCCTGGCAAAGCGCCGGTGCATCCACCGGATGAAACATTTCTCAAGGAATGGGAAGCGCTGCTAAAACAGATTGCTGAGGGTATGTGATAAAGAAGTTCAGAAGTTATGATCCTTCCAATATTCACCCTCTCTTCATTTGGTGCAGAGGATAACAAGGAAAACACACCAGTCGAATGTGGATGTTGTTATTGTGACTATAACATGGATGACGTAGGTCAAGAAGGTCTTATCGGTCGTTGCTTCGAACTACATTCATTGTTTATTATTTAGATGACGCAATGTGACGAAGGCCATCTTTTCTGTAAGGAATGCGCGAGGAAGGCGGCTGAGAACTCCATTGGGCTTCGTAAGTCTCAAGACCTTATGTTGGGCTCAAGTGTCGGTCTTCTAACTAGACACAACGTTCTCTTCATTTTCCTTGCAGGCAAAATTGAGTTGAAATGTTTACACAATGGAGGGTGTGAATCACTTTTCCCTCCCGCGGCCATTGAGCAATTTCTTCCAGAGAAGATGTGGAAAGGGTATTTAAAGCTGTGTCAGGAAGTGGATCTCGAAAGGGTAATACTGCTCTGGCGATTCTCACCATTTTCTATCAGAGAGATCTGCTCACATTCGTATCTAGGCTGGCATACCAGACTTTCACTCATGCCCATTCTGCCCGTTTGGTGCGATCGTCTCGACAAACGTTGAGGAAGATAAATTGTTCTACTGTCGAAACGAGGAATGCATGGCCGTGTCATGTCGAAAATGCAATAGAAGGAATCATGCGCCACTCACTTGCGAAGGTTTGTCTTGTCTATTGATTCCCTCAATGGCATGCCATGATTAAACCTTTCATAGAGTCAAAAAGCGAGGACGTCTTAGATGTCAAACATCAGATAGAAGAAGCCATGACTGAAGCACTTTTGCGAGAGTGCCATTCGTGCAAGAAAAAGTTTTACAAGGAAGAAGGGGTACGTCTCTCAATGCATATAGACATTTCACAGGCTTATCGTTTGTGCTGCAATAGTGCAATAAAATGACATGTACTTGTGGGGCAGGTGGGTATTGTAGTTTTTGCACTTTTGGTCTTTTGCTGATCTGTGAACCTCGCATAGTCATGTGTTACGTGTGTCGGCAGCCTGTGCGTGATTATACACATTTCAGAGACGGCGTCGTACCTGGAACCCCTGGTAAAACGTACATTGCATTCGGTGATTCGATCAACCTTAACGCCGGCAATCTAGGAGCAAAGTGTCCTTTGTTCGAAAATACAATAACTCGAAATGCTGAAGACGTCCAGCGTGCAGGCCAGGAAGCGATTTTGACTGCAAAGCTACAGAATCCGGAGATTGATGAATCCAAAATAAAGGTGTGTGTTTTAAATGCTGAGGTGCACGAGTTAAACAGGCTACGACCCAATACATAAACTGAAATGTTTTCATCACGCTTCACTTTCAGATCGACCTGCCAACGGTGCCTCCAGCTGGAGCCGCAAATCAGGGCGTCAACCACATCGGACAGATTGCAGAGCAGTTTCAGCAACTGCAGGACCATCTCCAGCGCGTAGATGATCTCCTCAACCGAGCAGGAAATAATGGTGGGAACTATCGTACATCCTCTCTACAAATATATCGAGGCTCACAATATGTTGGTCGCAAGCAGTCCGCCGTCAACCTTTTGTTTTCCAGAGGTACCAGGGCCAACCACGACCGCCCCGACCGCCGGCTCCCCCGCCAGCGCCAGGCCATGTCCCAAGAAGAGGCAGATTCGCACATCCAATTGGAAACGGAAGCCGAGAAATACCCTCTGAGCCCCCACCACCGCAGACCCACGCAGGCCCTGCTCAACCCCGCCAGCCGCATCGCGCGCCACGGCCAGCGGTGGGTCCCGCTCCAAATGCTCGGCCATATCCGCCTCGGTTTGGTGGAAATCACGGTCAAGCTCCACGGCCCACAGCGCCTAATGGCAATCATCGAGCACATCCCTACCGGCCATTTAGACGCCAAGACCAACATGCCCTGCGTCCACAAACCGTGCATCAACCACTGCCTGCTTTCGCCACCCATCGCCCGCATCCCGCGCAAGGACAAGCACCTGCTCTCGTTAATGATCAGCAACAACATACTGTGAACCCATCAGAGTATGGCGCCCCCCCGTTTGGTGGCTTTCGCCCTGCAGGCAACACTAACCTAGCTACCGCTGGCGGTTCAAGCAGGCCCGTCTTCACTGCACCAAATCTACGAACAGGCGGTCAAGCTAGCACAGGGCCAAGGCGATCGAATCGGAATGCTAGTACAAGAAATCTTCCACCACCGCCTATTGCAGCACCCGTAGCACGTCCACACGTATCACGTCCACACGCAGCAACTGATGACGACAATGACATCCTAGGTGATGACGACATCCCGGAAAACGTGATTGAACTTCTTGATGGTAATGTCCTCAATGAGGCACGGCGACCTGTGCGAGGGTCTGCGGGTGGGCGCCAGGACGCACCTGGTCGGAATCCCCGCCGCGCGACCGCTGGCAGTGTCATAGAAATCGATTGATTATCAGCATTATATCTGGCGTATATAGATCACGAAGGTTTGATGCCCTCTAGTGGGTACTTGGCCGATCGTCAGTACACACGATTCACATTGTATACCTAAGCAAAGAGCTGGTAAATGCAGTGTTCATTTGTGACGATAGCTAAATTAGACATTACTATTATAAGAGTAGTGTGTCACTTGGGTTTCGTTACGTATTAATGGATCATATACTGAAGTTTGCGGGAGAGGATTATTGAAAACGTGTCTGGAGGGTTTACAGGGCTTTTGGGCGAGACGCAGAGGGGATAAGAGGCGTTACGCATATATTGTTAAGATTCTGCCAGGATCCAACCAGTTGCCCGTTATCTGCATCGTTGCTATTTGTGAATATGCACTACTCTCTGAGAAGAGAGAGAGAGTGACCCTTGGAGGCTGTCCCAAATCATGAGCGATCCACCACAAGTTTTCTCAAAGAACTTTGGTGCAAATCCATGTATGTAGCAATTGGGATTTCTGGACCATGAAATAGGGAAGGTTGCCATTATCCGAACATTGTGTGAACAACTTGCGATGGCAACACTTGTCAACTTGCGACCCATTAATGCACATCAAACAAAAGGACTTGTAGCAAACACAGCTCATCAGCTGGTGGATCCCTTCTGGTTCGTCCCCACGTTGCTCTGTCGAATCTTGGATGCAGAACGTATTTTCAACCAATTGGTAGCAACACTGGCGCCTTAAACTGTATTGCTAACATCACCTAGTCCAATTGAGAAACCTCCCTCTTAAGAAAAGTAACTTTGCTCATTGTATAGCAGTCAGGATCTCCTCATATATAACCTTTATACTCATTAGAAAAAGAGTAGATAGAACCATTAGCTACACCGCTCACCAACACGTTTCAAACATTACACCCAAAGATCCAGCTAAAAAAAAAAGGGATTCCATAGAAAATATCCAACCTCCTCTATAGACTCTTTCCACCTATTGATTTCTATATACGGCACTAGAGTCCAAAAAAAAACTGTGCCCGGAAAAACACTCGGATGGCATCTCGGTACCTGCCAAGAACGCCACCAAAAAAAAAAAAAAACAACTATTGTCATCCCTTCTTCTGGTCAGGAGCCGGATTAGAGGCACCTTGCGTTGTCGTCGAGCCAGCAACCTTTGTCCCTTCCGGAAATTGATGTGCATCGATCGAATTGGGATCATATGGCTCCGATGGGTGCATGTCGGCATACTGCTGTTGGGGTGCGTATGCTGCATACTGATGTCCATAGTACGGGTCGGCATACTCGTACCCTTGTGCGGGGTAATATCCGTATGGTAGGACCTGAGATGTATTGGGCGCATCGTAGTAGGCGTATGTTTGTGGCTGTTGTGCGTAATAACCATCATAAGCGTTCGGGCCATAATACGCCCCAGTAGGAAGCATAGATGATGGACGACTGGTCATGCCTGGGCCAGCGGCGGCAACAGCGGGTGCAGCTAGAGTAGCAGCGCTCGTGGCAGCAGAATTCGATGCTGCAGATGCAATGGGTACACTTGCTACGGCGGGTTTGACCCCGCTCTCCTGTCTCCACAAACTTCCGTGCGAATCTGGATTGTTAAAGTCCAGTCGGGCCGTATTTGTTAACCGATCTCTTCGTTTCCGAATCCATATGAAGCCTACAATGGCGATGAGGAAGCCAGCAGCAACTACCCCGATACCCACTCCAGCACCGACTGGAAACCCTTTGCTCTTTCCATCGCCAGCGTCCAGGAGCTGGGCATCACTTGGATTCGTCTCTGTTGGGTCAAGAACCGTGCGAGTGTTCCTAGTGAGGGATGGGGTTGGTCCTGGGTTTTGAGTCCGCGACGAAATAATTGTCTGGGTCACTGGCGGAGGAAGAGGAACAACGCTTGATTGAGGTGGTGGGGTTGTCACCCGGGACGATGACGAAGGCTGGGGAGGTTCCGCGGTTTGGGACGGCCGTGGAGAGGACGATGGAGGTGGGGTGTTGGAGGGAGGAGGTGGCTCCCTTGTTGAAGACGGCGTGGGCGGTTCCCGTGTTGACGAAGGTGGTGGAGGAACAGCTGTAGGTCCGCCGGTGGACGACATTTTGTGACGACGAAAAGTGGACGAAAGATGACAAGAACAACGTCAACCGGCAGTGACAGAAAAACAAGTGCCGGCGAACAACCTAAAAGTAAGCTATACAACAAGGTTGATCAATATCATGCAGAGGCAAAGTAGCTGAGCAATAGCGAGCAACAATTTGTTCCAATTTTAAGATTGGTCAAAAAAAGCCTTCACTCGCCAAGGTTGACGGTAGCATTCATACGACCTACCAGTCAAAAACGACAAGAAAAAAAAAAAAGTTCCAGGGAAACAGTCGTCTTCAACTTTTGAATGATTCGCTGAATGTTGGCCACAAGAACCAACCGTTTCAACCCGCCAATATAAAACTGGAATGCGGCTGCCAATCCCGACGTAGAGGAACGCTGAGCTCCCTTGAAAAGGTTTGACTTTCAACAAGAGACCAATTTGACATGCGCAATGAACAAAGTGGCTATGGCAGAGAGGGAACTTTTTTGTATTGAACGTCACCCATGACCACCCAATTTTTTCTTTTGTCCTAAAAAAGCGGCTCTTTTTGTGCGGAGAGTTCTTTTGCCTTAAGCTTGACGGAAAACTTTGAACGAGTTTCACACTTTTGGGAGTTTTGGAACACCTCGTGGGGGGCAAGGGGTGGCTTAGTCCATCAGGTGAACGCGCACACGTGACTATACCGATTCAGGCCCAGTATTTCATGCCCTGATCCTGGCGATATCCGTAAGGTTTTAAACTTTGGGTCTCGTATCAAAAGGCGTCTCAACATTGATTCGGAGGGGTATTTCTTTACAGGTGGCGAGAAATATGGGGCAACATTAATAGGTGCCATTAATGTAATTTACGGTATTGTTTTCCGAGGCACCAAAACGTGTCCATCCTAGTTCATGACATCAAAAATCAGAGACTCGCATCGTCGCTTTAACTAGGACATCAAAGACAGTTACCATAAGTCTCCTCGCTGTCCTTGTCATGACAACAGACTCCAATACGCATCGACTGGTGTTTCTAATTCTTGCACCTGCCTCAGCAACGCCAGCGGGGTGACCCACTCGTAGCCACTTGATACCATGGACGTCCTGTTTTAGCCCTTTTTGGAGACATCCCTCCAAAACAGTGCCCTTAATACTCGCCCCTGCACCAGCAGCCATGAGTACCGTAGCGGGAAAGGTTCGATGAATGTTTCCAACGCTGACCGCGCGCGCGAATATATCCATTTCGTGCGATTCTACGTGGGAAGACGATGTGGTCGTGTAGGGTGTAGCTGGGCCAACTACCGCGATTTTGGGGGCTGACGGTGAATAGAGCTTCTGAAGCCCCGGAGTGAGATGCGCTGCTGCTGTACGAATGCGAGAAAGCATATCCATCACAGATTTGTTGGCATCGATGGTAGCAGGAGAATCCATAAAAGTGCTAGGGGGAACTGGGAGCGACGAAGACCGAACAAAAACAGCCGGTAAGCCGGCATCGATTATGCTCACTTCCACCTAATATCACAGAACGAGACATGGATGAGATATCAGTGCGTCCAAGTTTCGTCGTCGTCCCAAAGCTCACCTCTAATCCATCATCCAATCGCACCACATCCCTGACATTTCCAGTAGGCAGCACTCCTTCACCGCCAGATGGCTCTACAAACTCGATATGCACACCAGCAGCAGTCCCTGGAACACCCGAGATTCTAGTATTCCCCTCAGTGGCCGCAAAGATTTCTCCAGTCCGCTCACACCGCTCAATGGGTACTCGCGCAATCATGGTCGCGCCCGTGTTTGCGGCCAATATGCGAACAGGTATGACATTGTTGTGCTGAGAGGCAAGATGGGAAAGTGTGGAAGGTGAAATAAGCCGCTCATCTATCGCGTAGTGTCCAACCGCTGCGACAAGGTTGCCGCAAGTTGTTGACCTACACAGAAAGGTGTTGACACACACGCGGGTTAAGTTGCCAGCAATTCATTAGCCACCTACCAATCCACGGTCTTCTTCTTCACTTCCACCTGTCCAAACCGATACTCTACATCCCATTTGCTCTCCTTGGCCCTGCCAACAACAGCAACTTTAGACAAGCTGCTGATTCCTCCGCCAAGACCATCAATTTGTCGTCCGTCAGGATCTGGTGATCCCATTGCAGCCAGGATAATGTCATCTTGAACCGACACAGGGTATGGAGCCAAAGTGCGTGACCGGAGAAAGAGACCTTTACTCGTTCCGCCACGGAAGAATGCTGCGGGAATTCGGTGCTGCATTGGTCACCAAGATGCGTTCGTTGGGTAACTTCCAAATCGGGCTTGCTATCTACTCACGTGTTATTGCTTACTGAAGCGATCGGCTGTGGCTTTGCCAAGAGCCTTTAATGAACCATCTGTAACCGTATATCTACGCAAATACTAAGGTATTATAATGTAATTCGGCGCCATAATGCTGCTGGTGAATGAAGAGCCGCTCCCTTGTATATTCCTCCCTCCAATCATCATATCCCGTTTATTGGCCCTCCCGAGATACTTCCTAACAATCAATCCCTCCAATCATCATATCCCGTCTAGTGGCCCTCCCCGTATACTTCCTAACAATCGATCCCTCCAATCATCATATCCCGTCTAGTGGCCCTCCCCGTATACTTCCGATCAATCACTCCCAGGGTCTCTATGTCTAAGCAAATCGTCTCCTACTACATGTTCCTGCGACAAAAGAATCGGAGGAATTAAAAAAGGCATTCTCAAATTGAGTAACTTTGAGAAGGTCCATACCTGTCAGCTCCTTGCATAGCTGTCTCCTTCCTAGAGTTGCCTTCACTGGTCTTCGTCGGTCCGCTCTTTCAGTCTACAGTTAAAATGGAGGGTAGGGTATTTTTGTGGGTTGCAAGATTTGGAAGAGTACCTTCAGCTCGATGATAACGATCTGCGTTCCTCGCCTTCATCTGCCGTCTTCCATCTGTTCCGAGATCAAGTGGTGAGTTCAGATCAATGTAAAAGTACTACAGATACGAACACGTACCAGAGCGCACTATTGGTAGTCTGTCGTTTTCGCCTTTTATTATTCGTTGATTCTGCTGCGATACCTGATCAATTGCGTCAGGTTAGGGAAATGAGCTAGATAGTGTCGTTGTGAATACACAGCGTACCTGGAACCGGCTGCTGACAAGTTCTGATCAACTTTTCGGTCTATTCATTTTTTTGTGACGCCTAAGAAACCAACAAAGGTACGTTAGTAAAGTCAGTGACCTATTATTCCGCTGAGCTTACCTTATAGTTTACTGTTCACGGTTTTTCTAAGGCCAGTCTTTCGTCTTCATTTTCCTTGGAACCTCTACATGGGCAGACGAGTCAAATAACGCGGACATCATATGAACCTGCCAAAATAGAAAGGCTGCATGTAGGTGTATGTTGCTGTTCAGTCTTCAAGCATCTACGGTCAGCAAACTTTGGGTGGACAACGCTTTCTTTGAGGAAACGAGTAAGCTGGATGTGATGTGACGAGGTCACGAAAAGCAAAGTACCTAGCAGAAGGGTGCCGTCACTACATTGTTTCTTCGTTGATCAGATCGCTTTTCCTTTTTCTTTGCTAAAGGGATCGGGGTATGCGTGAGTAAGGTGAGAGGAGCAAGGAAGTAGAATGGCATGTCGGGGAAAGCAAAGTACCTGGCAGAAGCTACAGTCACTACACTCTTCTTCTGTTGATCGGAATCGCCCTTCCTTCTCTTTGCTAAATGGTAATGGAGCGGAGCATGCGTGAGAAAATCGATATTTGTGACGTCATAAGGTTCCAGTGTTAATACCTCGGGAGAGTCCCACTACCGATGATCAATGCTTCATTCGGCGCTTAATGGGTTGCTCTTCTTGATGCTTCCTTTGGATGAAATAGCAAATGAATTGGAAAGAAGTGGAATGCGACGAGGTGCAGAAGGGCGTATGTACCTTGGCGCCGACTATTGACTTCCTTCCTTATAAACTGATACATGCGTGAGTGAGATCATTTACAATACAAGCAGATAAGGCAGGTGGAAGGTACCTTACGACTGGACTCTATCGTCGGCCTTGCGTTTTGGGACTTTGCTTGTTGTCTCACGTTTCTTAAAGTCGCGGAACCGTTAGGAAAGAGACGGGAATACGATGGCATGGGAAAACGTGGTACCTCAAAGCTGAAGATCACGGAGGGTTGTTTCTTGGCTTTGTATGGTATCGTTGAAGAATGCTTGCAGATAAAGAAACAGGCAATGTCAACTTTTGAGAAACCAACCGATGCCACGAAACCGTATGGTGCTTACTTGTTACGCAGGACAGCGAGGGTTGTACTGGTGCCGCATGTCGATATCTAAGGAGAAGGGAAAGAGCAGTGGACCACGAACGAAGAACCAGCGAATGATACAGAAATAGGAACGAACGAACGACACAGAAAAGTAGCAGAACAGTGAACGAACGAATGAAATATAATAGTAGCAGAAGAGCGAACGAACGAACGACACAGAAAAGTAGCAGAACAGCGAACGAACGAATGAAATATAATAGTAGCAGGACAGTGAACGAACGAATGACACAAAACAGTAGCAGAAGAACGAACGAAAAAGAACCACCCACAATAATAGGTTCGTAAAGAAAAACCGTCGGGGACGTGAGTACTCTTTATATATCTCTTTGAGCATCTGCTATCCCAATATCCATGTCGTAAATGCAAGTAATATAACTTGGTCCCTTTTAATTTGTGAAACGTCAGGCGTTCGCAATCAACTTTGCTGGCATGGATTTAGCGATAGTTATATCAGTCCTGGTTACCACGGGGCTTTTACGATGCGCGCCAGGTTTGCCTGATTGCCATTTCTGTCAAATAAACCATCCCACATTTCATTCCACACAAGGGTTTGAAATCAAGTTTTTGCTATGCAAAGGTGAAATTATTTGTGCATAACGGTATTAGGAGGGTGGTTTGTGGTAGACGATTACTTCTGCTTATCGTCAGAGAATATTTAGCACACAGTACTGCGCTGCATCACATTGGAGCACCAGCATATATGGGAATCTACGTATATAATCAGTGCTAGGACACTTCTAGTAAGATGATTGCAGCTTTGCCATAGAAGGCGAGCGCTCCGTTAATTCTTAGTAATATGCGATAAAGAGATCAAATCGCATCTATCTTGTCGTGACTCCCATCCATGGTGTACATAAAAGGAGGATCGATTCACAGATTTTACATCATCAGGATATCGAACCCTGAACATAGAGGAGTTCTGCAGGCCGAACCCTTGCAGGAGAGATTTCTACATTCCACAAGCGATTCGAGCACGTGCGGACGGAGTTCATCTCTTTTACTAGTGCGCGCAGCAGAGGCTACGTGACTTCCCTGCTCGTTAACTTACAAGGACAGTAATTTGGACAGCCGCCCACGCTTTCGAAACTACTCTGGATCAGAGATGGACCTTTGTCTACATCGAGGGACTGTCCATACAGTGTGAATAAGCTGTAGCTCCCATAAGTACGGGCATCGTTATGCGATTCCAAATCAGCAGTATATAATGATTGTAGAAATTTAATGCCGTCCCTTAAAGCACATGCCTCCTTGGCTCAGTTGGTTAGAGCGTCTGCCTAGTAAGCAGAAGGTCCCGCGTTCGAATCGCGGAGGAGGCAGTTCAGACCTAAGAACATTGATTTTTGCTCGTGTCGCAGACTTTGCTGAACTTTTAATCAAAACAAGCACAGAATGGAAAACGATTCTAGCATTAACTGGTACACACGACTTTGTTTTTAATTACCAAAAGTACATATTTAGCGGTTTTCCATATATCCCTTTTTTTTCCTCGGTTTTCTACCCTCCACACTATCCACCATAAATAAATAAAAACACACTTTCTTTTCTAGAGAGGGGTATTTGTCAAAAAGCCTCTAATCACACCAATAAAAAACACATAGGTGTTTTTCCTCAACGTTTTTTTCGCCATAACTATCACCCAACACTATGTACACCCCTATTCAGCGTAAGGTTTTAATTTCACGGATCATTGGGTCCCCATCCCAAGACCGTACGAACAGGACACCACACAGTCAATGAGGGCGCAAAGACACGTCCATCACTGATATCCAAAGTAACAGGCCACTTGACGGTAACAAAAAAGCTTCTCGCGGGATCACCGAGCATCCACCCTGCGCTCAAATAATCGGGAGTGGCGGTCAAGAGATAGAATGGGTTTCCAGGGGCTTTAAAACTCCCCGCAATGAGTTGAGCACCCGAGAGGTCTTCAATGTAAGGTTCGGGTGTACAGAATCGGAGTGAGGCCCAGAATCCGTTTAGGACTGGTGCGGTGTTTTGGAGGGTGACGTTGAATGTGACTTGAGAGTAGGCTGCGTTTGTTTGGAATGAGTTTGGTAGGATGCTTAATGTGCTTGTGCAGGCGTTTTCGGAGGGGGGTGGTGGGGGGAGGGCTGGGAGACAGGTTTGGGTTGGTGATATGGTGGTGGTTGGAGGTGCCGTGGTACGTGTAGGTGGGGTGCTGCCTTCGTTTCCACCTGGGATGGTTAATGTGGCTGTTGCTTCCGTTGTGGTTGTTTCGGTTGTGATGATTTGCGTTGTTGTTGTTGTTTCGCTTTCGATCACTGTTGTTGTGGTGGTAGAACGAGATGGAGGTGTGCTTCCCTCGTTTCCACCAGGGACGGTGATGGTGCGAGTGACTTCTTCTTCCGTAGTGGTAGTGGTTTCCACAGCAGGAGCAGTCGTCGTGGTTTCCGTTGGGACAGTGGTCGTCTCCACACTAGTGGTCTCAACTGACGTGGTTGTCGTTGTGGTGCGGGCCGGGGGTGTACTGCCTTCGTTACCACCAGGGATGGTAATCGTTCGTGTAACTTCTTCTTCAGTAGTGGTGGTCTCTACTGCTGTGGTGGTGGTGGTTGCTTCCGATGTGGTGGTCGTTTCAGCAGTGGTGGTAGTGGTACGCGCAGGAGGTGTACTGCCTTCATTACCACCGGGGATCGTAATGGTGCGAGTCACTTCTTCTTCAGTGGTGGTAGTTGTCTCGACTGCGCTGGTTGTCTCAGCTGTTGTGGTAGTGGTCTCTGCTGCAGTGGTCGTTTCAGCAGTGGTGGTCGTCTCAACGGCAGTGGTGGTCGTGGTGGTACGAGCAGGAGGTGTACTGCCTTCATTGCCTCCTGGAATGGTAATGGTGCGAGTTACTTCCTCTTCAGTAGTAGTGGTCTCAACAGCGGTGGTCGTCTCGGATGTTGTGGTAGTCTCTACAGTAGTTGTTTCCACCGTAGTGGTGGTTGCCTCTGCTGTAGTTGTTTCTGCTGCAGAGGTTGTTTCGACGGTGGTAGTGGTCGTGGTACGCGCGGGCGGTGTACTGCCTTCATTACCACCGGGGATGGTAATGGTGCGAGTGACTTCTTCTTCAGTGGTAGTGGTCTCAACAGCGGTGGTTGTCTCGGCAGTTGTCGTTGCCTCTGCAGTAGTTGTTTCAACGGTGGTAGTTGTCTCTGCTGTCGTTGTTTCTACTGCAGTGGTTGTTTCAGTGGTGGTACGCGCGGGAGGTGTACTGCCTTCATTTCCACCAGGAATAGTGATGGTGCGAGTGACTTCTTCTTCAGTGGTAGTAGTTTGAATGGCAGTGGTTGTCTCGGCTGTTGTAGTAGTCTCTGCTGTAGTTGTTTCCACCGTAGTGGTAGTTGTCTCGGCCACAGTGGTTGTCTCAGCAATGGTCGTTTCAGTGGTGGTCGTTGTGGTACGCGCGGGAGGTGTGCTGCCTTCATTGCCTCCAGGGATGGTAATGGTACGAGTCACCTCCTCTTCAGTGGTAGTAGTTTCCAAAGAAGTAGTCACAGCCTCAGTAGTGGTAGTAGTCGTCTCAACAGGTGCAGACGTAGTCTCAACGACTGTAGTCGTTTCCGCTGTTGTGGTGGTCGTGATGGATGTCAAGGTAGCTGGAACGGTGCGAGTCGGAGGCGTACTGCCCTCATTTCCACCAGGAATGGTAATCGTCCGAGTGACTTCCTCTGTAGTGGTGGTTTCGACAGCCGTAGTAGTAGTGGTCTCAACAGTTGTCGTCGCCAAAGTCGTAGTCGTGCGCGTACAAGGCGCATCAGTAGCTTGAATAAAGATTTTAAGCGTCTCGAAAGGAGCAGGACTTTGACGTTTAACAAGCTGGTTTCGTTCCGGGTTATTCATGGCTTCAACGAGTTTCTCAAAGGGAACGTCCGTGGGGAGGGTACCGTACTCATATTCGTACACAATAGCCGATGGATCACGTTTAGAGAGTTGGTTTTGAACGAGACTGGGCTTGGAATCTTCGATGGGGCAGGCGACTTCATCCCATTTGAGATGGACGCTGGTGCTGGAGGGTAACTCGAGGGCTTCCAATGCATCAGGGGAGAGAACCAATCGTCCACGAGGAATCTATTCAGAAAAAATAATTGTGAGTTTTTTTCTTAACGTTTCTGTGGGTATACTCTAATCACAAAACGAAAACAAACCTTTTTGGTCACATCCACAATCCTAACAACAACATTCAAACCCGTCAACGTACTCGACACACGAACACACCTCCCACAAATACTCTGCGCACCACGAGGATCAGCACCAAATGCCGCAATAGGTACATTGCGAGTCCACGCAAAGTTTGGACAGGCATCGGGACCAATGAGGCGTGTCAAGGCGAAAGGGTAGTCACCGCCAGACATGCCTCGCCCGTGTAGACGGGTGGGGTGGGCCAATGTCATGGCTGCGGAACAGAGGAGAAGGAGGAGGGAAAGGGTGGGTGCGATGCGGGACTGCATCTTGATGTGTTGACTTTTGTTTGAAACAAGAGGTGGTGTGTGCTTTGCAACTATCTACACAATCAAGACGAACGACCAATGTACACACACACGAAAAACTCTACGGAGGGAAATTCCAACACATATCCCTCCTATTTATGGTCCAAAACCCCGCACGAATCCATCACGGAATGACCCAATGGTAACTTCTTCTCGACCACGCCTTTTCCGGCTTCCACGACTTCTTTTTCACATTATCTGCAAGACAAGAAAAGACTTCGAAGGTTCAGGGGCGGCGGGCGGGTTCCGCCTCGCGTTTAAAAAACATCTTAGAAGCTGCCACATGTATAAACTGATTCATTGCGCAGGTATATAAAAAAGACTAGCATGAATAAACGCGCGCGGTCGGAGTTGGAGAAGTGTGCTGCGCGTTTGGGACAAGTGCTCGAGACATTCAGTTTTGCTGCTTACAACAGTTCATAACCCTCAATCTAAATAGAACGTTTGCTAAAATGGGGCCGATCCGCAATTTAGGGTACTTTTGTAAGCTCTTCAAGCATATCCCCCAATAACGAATTGCGGTATTCCTTAATAACTCATCTGGAAGAACCCAACTACGCCTTACGTAAGGGTTGGAACCAACACTGTGCGCAGACCCTAATGAATCATTCACTGAAAGAGTTTCTTTGGGATACATTGGTCGAATCGCAATACATCGATGAAGAGTTCTCGTGATGAGGTGTTTCAAAATTGCAAACGTTTTTCTTCAGAAGATACATGTAATTAGGCTCGAGAGATGCCAGATGGCACATGTTCAATCACGTAGGATAATAAGTATCTAGCTACAGTGGTCGTGACTTTCAAGTCTTCTAAGATGCAGTCCTTTGTTGATGCGTGTGCAAAGCAAGTAGTTGTTGTCACGTAGGCATCTTGTCTGTATTGTGTAGGCAAGAGTAACGGAAACAATTCCGTGAGATCCACGCAAACAGAGGAACAGTGGATCCATTTCCTAAAAGATGGCATGAAGTGAGCAGAAAAGAGGAGCCTATCCAGTTTGATTCAAATTATATCAACCCACAGGAGTGTAAGGCAACAAAAAAAAGTCATTAATAACGTTCGAAAAAAGACTAAAAAGATAATAGTGTCGCCAAGAGAGGGATTAATGCTGACTATGCTAGTTCAACCAACAAAAGATTACCAAAAAAAGAACAGTTTTAACCTGGCGCATAATATAGAGTTCAACACGTACGCCCTTGGAGCGTATAATAGTAACTCCGGTGATGCGAGAAGGGTGGTAGTGCCGCCAGGTATTCTTCCCACCAAATAAACCGCACCTAAATCATTTGAAATTGATCCTCTCCATAACCTCGGGCCCACATCCGCTTAACAAACGCATTGTATACTCTTCGCCGTCCTTCCCCTCCATGAATCAAATCATACACGTCGCACATCTTTCGATACATCCTGTTCCTGTTTCTCATACTCGGGGATCTTGAGCAGGCAATGTGATACGATTTCCAGTCGATGGGTTCGCCAGTGTCCAAAACGGCATCAAATTGCTTGGCGCGCCGATTTACATCCACTGCAGTGGGGACCCAGGCCAGAGCAGCGCATCGCTTGCGATACAGTGCCTGTACTCCCTGCGGAAGCAAGCCAGTGTCTCCTACAAGAAAGGAACGCCAAAAATGACTCGCTGATTGCAAATGAAGGAAACTGCGCTCGTCGCTGATGAGGAACTCAAGTATCGCCAGGATGATTTCCATAGGAAGTCTCGCCAAGTCATCTGAACGATGCTGCTGCCGCTGCTCGACGCCAGGAGTGCACTTTGTTGCAACCAATGGAAGCTCTGGAAAACGATCAGGTCTGGTAAGTAGCCATGCATTCTCCGGCCTATAATCGTCATCATTCATGAATCGGGGCCAGTCTCTTCCTCTTTCAAATGCTTCGTAATCAACGGACAGGCTACCAAATGAGTCAACCGCTGCTATCGATGCTTCTTTAGTTCTTCTATTCCTGAAGTGGTGCTCCCGGTGCTCATCGTATTCTTCCTTGTTCTCATTGTTGACAATATCTTCTGTGTTGTCTCTGTAGGCGATGTTACGACCCATGCAGGAACATTCAAGCAGAGATCCAGTAGGGCTCATGAAAAAGTCGCTTATACTTTCACTATTTGTCCACTCCACCGCTAGCGAAAGACATCTGTGATGCACAATGACGGCCGACCCACTGAGGTAATCTAGGCCGGTATATTCTAATTGCAGAGTCAGACGACGCAGAAATGGAGTTGGTCAGTTTTCTGCACGAACCAGCGTCACCACTCGTGGAAAAAGGTCCCACAGGCGTATCTTCATCCGAGTCTTCTGCCGCATCTTCAAAATCCGGCAAGTAAACTGGGCCATAGGTGGCTTCCGGGATATCCCCTCCGTAAATCTCGTGCACCATTAGAACGTGACCGTCAACCATCCCGGGATAGGACATCATATTTGAGAGCAGTGCAACACCCCATTTAAACCTGTAAAAGTCCACGGACAAGTGTTGTGAGCAAACCGGTACAATGTCGCGGCGATGATGTGAACAGACGAGACTCTTACCACGTTCCATCGCCATGCCGAAGACTATTAAATCCATCATTGTCCAATTCCTCACATTCCTGAATGTCCCTGTAGATATCTGCGACCGGACAACCACAAAGACAACACAGGTGAGCGTGCGATGCCATGTTGAAAAGCACAAACCCGGTGAGTGTGAGATAACCAGTAAATATGATATCGTGTGGCACAGTGATCATGTTTGAAGCCACAGCACAAATGTTGAAGATACTAATGGGGATGCGTGCGTGCACAATAAGACAAGAAAGCAAATACAGCTACAGTACGGAAGCACTTTGCTATATACCATATGATGTTACATGGTCTGGTAAAGGTCATTGTTTTCATTCTGGATTTCCAAACTACTGCAAAGCACTTGGGGCTCAATTCATGGCAGCAAAAACATTATCACTGGCCTTGATAATTGCTTATACAGTTAATAGCCATAAGGGGTCAGTCATTTTGGAATAACGTTCAGTATATTATGGCAAAAAAGGTGCACTTGGCAAATCCCTCCCTAGTCCGTCAAGTGGTCATTGCAGTAACAATTTCTGTCAAGGCAGGAACCGTGCGACCTTTATTGAAAATGTCTAACGATGGATAAACACGCCGAAAAGCCCAGATGCCCCGCTGTAAAAACTAGTCTTTCCAGAGAGACGAACCTATAAGGCCTAACTTGCACTTTATGCGATCAAGTTGCCCTTTTCGTATTTTTGTTGTTTGTTTGGCAGTTTTTGTATAGTAGTGCCTGCATATCGCGGATTTCGCACATTTGCACATTCGCAATGATTGGGAATGTTCATCCCTTCAAAGGGCACTTCATCCCTGGCTCGGTACAGCTATTCTAGTCCTACACACAAATCCGCAATTTCAACAATGTATTCCCAGTCATTCAATGACTGTGAGACCAATGACCGGTTACATTTATGATAACAGGACAAAAAGTGTTTGACGAACACATTTTTGTTGATGTGTCTGTGTGTGTGTAAAGCAAGATGTTGTTGTCACCTAGGCGTTGTGCCTGTTTTTCTCAAAGGCAGATGGGAATCTTTAATCTTGCTAGCGCTAAAAGTGCACTCGAAAACGCTACTGCATGCATTGGCCAAAAGGCAAACCATGATACGTTGCTCAAATCCAAATACCATTTGCACCCCTGATTATGTCAAAGATAAAGTGACCAAAAGAATCCCATTCAACATTATTCACAAATGCAGGATTACTATTCAGTAATTCGTATCATAATCTGTTTGAAAATGGTAGTTTCGGTATTTACTACCTGCGGGAATGATATGGGGCTTTGCAAGCAAGTTCATTTGCAAAAAACGAAAAAGTTGAAACCAAAAATCTAGTAAATTCCGGATCTACGTTCTCCTAATTCAGCAATGATCTATTGATGCTTTAGGTTGAGTCCTTGCTCATTTGTCTCTTGTATTGGGTTGAGTGATAACAATCTGCTTGATTCGCAACCCGCAATGGTAACTTTCAGATTTTTGCAGAATACCTGTTAAACGAGTGCCGTTCACCCAAAGGGAGTGTTTGGGTCATTAGGATCATTGCAGTTTTGATATACCAAGAAAAACCAAGATTTCGTTACCTTGAATCTATGGTTTGGAGCGTCGTTTGTGCGTTCGCAAATGATATGATTGCACAGATTTTATTATACATGTATTTATCACTGAGATGCATAGTTATTCAAAAGTAGAGTCTTGCCCCCAATATCTGTATGCAAAAATACTTATTCATGCATGACATGGATGGGTGGTTCACGTATCCCGTAGTGCAATCACACGACAAGTATACTGACAATTCAGGCACCGCAAAACAACCCTGCATATTTCACACTACTACAAACATGCGAAAGTCATATGATATATAATATATATATATAAACAAAAAACATGGATATCCATCTACAAAATGTATAAAGAAATATATATATATACAAGAGTGCTAGATATATCTAATGTACGAAAAAAGCAAAAAAATAATCTAAAAATGTGGGAATGCACTCTTGTCTAAATCCCAGGAACATGCGAATCCACCACACACATGTCCTGATCCGGCGGCGGCGGCATCGGACCCCCACTCTCCACCTCCCACACAAACCTCCTCACATTCTCCAACGCAACTTGAGAGCTCTCCAACCAACTCATGGCTTGAAATACGTGCACCATGTCTTTATACAATTCATGGCGCACCCAGGATTTGTGGGATTGGTTGTTGGGGTGTCCGGTATTTTGCGTGTCGTACTTGTAGGCCAATGCAAGGGATTCGTCACGCAAGACTTCGGCGTCGCCGGCTTGGATGAGCATTGGGGGCAGGCCGTGGAGGTCTTCGGCGAATATAGGGGAAACAAGAGGATGGCGGACAAAGCGTTCGGCCGTATCGCGGACCACATGGGTAGGATCGTGTTTGGCGCTTTCGCTAGAAAGAGAAGAAAGGTAGGAGACAGGGCGGGAACAGTCTTGGCCATACAGGTACATATAAACTGGGTGCGGAACATGGTCAGAGACGGGAGAGTGAATGTCGCGGGCGTTGGCGGGGAGCCAGTCGTACTGGGCATTGGAGCGCCAAGAGTGGGAAGTAAATGTCAAGTCCACCCAGGGGCTCAATAACACGGATCCGCCAGGGAGTGGGACCTGGTGGGCACCCGTCGGGGTGCGGAGGTAGAGGTTGAGGTAGTTTAACAAGGCCATGGCGAGACCTCCGCCGGCCGAATCGCCCATGATGATCACGTCTTTGGGGTCGACGGGATCGTGAGTTACGGCAAGACCAGCAAAGGCGGGGTGGTGGGGTTGAGTGAGGTAGAGGTATCCTGCAAAAGCGTCATGGAGGGCGGCGGGGAAGGGGTGTTCGGGAGCAAGGCGGTACTGGACGGCAAAGACGCGTGCGCCCGTTTCTTTTGCAATGCGGCCGGTAAAGAGGCGGTAGAGGCGGGGAGAGCCGACAATGTAGGCTCCGCCATGGAGGTAGTAAATGACTTTTTGGGGGCGTCGCTTGGGTGGTGATGGTGGTGTTTGAGGAGGTGATTGAGCAAGCCACGACGGCCACCAGGACGATTTGATGGGTTCGATTGACGACGGTGTCTGATCCTCGAGCCATTCCCCTTCCAACTCGTACTCTCGGACAAGATCCTTCCAGTGCGCGGCCGTTTCGGGAGGCACTGTCGGGTACTGACCGGCCTTTTTGCCTTGCCGCCAGGCATGCCCAAGTGCTTCGAATCGCAAGAGGACATCGCGATCAACGCGAAACGAGACCTCTGTCACTTTTACATGTGGCGGGGGACGGGATGCGCCGGCCGCCTTGGACAGAAGACGGACACGGGGAATGGAGGTGCCTTGAAAGATTAAATTGGAGCGAATAAAATGGAGGCCCATGTGCATGCCATAGTTCCAAGATGGACGAGCCGCACCGACTTTGGCCAGATCGTAGATGCCTGTTGCTACGGTGCGTACTTGGTGAGCACCAAACGACGCCATGACGAGCATTTCATGGATAGCGGTCGTGAGGAGATGGGCAGAAGAACTGGAACTATTAGCAGCAGCAGCAGCCGCCGAACGAACCAGGTCTGTAGAGGATTTGCGTGTTCTCAAATCCGTGCAAAAAGGCGGCACGTCACTGTCGCTTGGCTGTGCATGGATGCTCTCGTAGGGAGGGGGAATGTCGAGGTCTTGCCAGTCATGGTCGTCTGTAGGGTACTCTGGGCACCATGCCGATGCCAATGGTCCCAACACTGTCGTCATGAGATGTGAGTGGGGGTGAGTGTTAACGGGCGGGTGCAAGTGTGAAAAGGAAGCGGGTGTGCAAGTGTGAAATGAGCAAGTGTGAAATGACGAAGTGTGAAATTCTGGGGGAAGGGTGTGAAATGCACTCCTTCCCTTTATATACCCTGTACACTCAAATCCCCAGATCCAAGAGCCCATGCGTTACCGCAACCCTAATGTCCCCCCTGTACCCTGGGTCTTGTGTGTGTGTGTGTGTGTGAGGGGGATCTATAGAAAAAGAAAAATAAGGAAAAAATACACAAAACACACGAGACTGATAGTCAGGAGACTACAAGTGTGACAAAATGCCATGCGGGGAGAAGTTGATTTTCAAATGGCCGCTTCGTATAACAATTATCACATGAGGATGGGGGGCATTTCGGGCTCTCTTTTTGACACTCTAAACACTTGCATGAATGTATTCACACATCACACACTCTCACACATACATACATACGTTACATACGTTACATACCATATGCGCATATGCAACTGATGGCAGGCAGAGAGAAGGAGAGAGAGCAAAGAATGTTGAAAGTGGGTGGCAATGAGAATCATGATCATAGACAAAATCTTGGCAAGTTGTTGTTTAAAGACTGTTTAAAAATAGATGGTCACGCTCTTGAAGATCTTCTTTCAAAACTTTTTCACACTTTTGCACTCTCTTTTGTTTGAATTCTCTCTCTCTCTCGTCCATTTGACTACTAGTAGAGTATTCACTCCCACTCCCATTCACAGATTCACACACACGTTCATTTTCACTCTCTCTCTCTCACACTCACTCTCTCCAATTTCACACTCACACTCACACTCTCTCCAATTTCACACGATAAACATTTCACACTTTCACACTTTATATCACATGATCATAACTCTCTCACATTGAGTCATCCCCCTCTTTTTATATTGACACACTGTCTCATGTCTCCTTGTCACATGTCATTCATTTTATTCTCTCTCACATGACACACTTGTAAGGGTTCGACTCACGCTCTTGACATTTATTTGTTTATTCTCTTTTATTTTTACATTTTTACATAGATTCTCTTGTCTCTCTATAGTTTTACATAGACTGTATGTATATATTATAGTACTATTACTAGTATATTAAACATTTTCACTGCACAGTGCAAATGTCCCATTGCTTTCTCTTTTTGTTTTTTTTACCATTCATCCCATTATGCATCGCATTTCCACTCTCTGCACTTGCTCTTCCTGGCGCTCTCTCTGCACTTGCTCTCTGTACACCCGGCACATTGCTCACACTCGATACGAGCAGACACAACTCGCTCACTACAGCCCTCGCTTGACGCTCGCTCAACACGCTTGACCGGCAAAAGATTCCCACATCCACATTATCCCCTCTCTCGGCAATCTCCAGATCTATTTCCACGCGATGGCAATGGACAAGGTCCGACACGGGCGTCGTCTGTTGGAATGTTGCTGATGGAATGTGATCCAGCGAAGAGGCATTGACCTGAATAGCATCACGATAATGAGTATCTTTGGTTCTTTTGCATGCCTTTATAAACGAAAAATCTCACCTCTATGGCGTTAAACACTTTTTCCTCGTCTCCACCCTTTTGCTCAGCAGGAAACTTTAGGTAATTCACAACAGTATTACTCTTTGCACTCGGCACCCACTCGAGCACCTCCCGCATCTCCACCTGCGCCATCCCACTCATTCTCACCAACTCGTCCTGAATCTCTCGAGCAACCTCCATCAAATCCCTCCCAGCATCTCTCGTCTTGAACGGCACAATGTTAAAGCAAGGCGCAACCATGACATTGATTCCATCTACTGGCACCGTCCGCCCAGAATGGTACAATCCAAACACCGGGTCCCGCACGCCCGTCATCTTGGACGCCAAGTGAGACCATGCTGCGAGAAACAGAGCGTGCAAGGTGATGCCGTGCCGTTTGCACACGGCTTCATAGTCGGTTACATGGACGAGTGCGTTCCGCACGACGAGGCGGGTTTGGTGACGGGTGCGGAACCAGGTGCGGTTGCGGGGTGTCACGAGGGTCGGTTGGCTGTCCTTGAGCAGCCTTTTCCAATACGTTTCGAGGTCTGTCTTGTCTTGATTATACACGTATTCCACAAAGGCCTTTGGTGATGGTACAGCCTCATTGGCAGGTCCGTCGACAGGTGCGTCGACTCGCGCTGATGCTTCAACTACTACGGATGCACCGACTTGTTGCATCG